ATATAAGGCCTTCTTATCTATACATGAAATCCATAGTTCAGGGTGAGGAGGATTTTCAAGCCCTGCTTCTGGGCTTCCTGTGTGGCATACAGTGTAGATTTCTGGTTCACTGCTTCAGGAAATAGGATGATGGCTGAGAAGGCTCTCTGGTCCAATCCACTAAGGGTGTATCTGTTATGTTGCCGCTGGGCCTATAGCTAGTTGACTTTAGATATAGGATTTATTTATTTATTTATTACCGGCACTTATACCCCGCCCTTCTCACCCCCGAGGGGGGACTCAGGGCGGCTTACACAACAAGGCACCATTCCGCGCCCATACAATTACAGTTCTACAAAATGACAATCATAATTAAAACAATTAAAACAGTTATCATAGATAAAACCACAATGCAATTAACAATCAATAACACAATATATATCACAACATATAGGACAATTCACGTGTTCAGCATTCGTCTTTCCGGGCTCCAGATCTCATTCCATTATACCTTTCCTAGATAGTGACAATTCTTTACCTGCTCGTATGACCAAACGCTTGGTCCCACATCCATGTTTTGAGTTTTCTCCTAAAGGAGAGGAGTGAGGTCGCTGTTCTGATTTCCCCGGGAAGCGAGTTCCACAGGCAGGGGGCCGCCACCGAGAAGGCCCTGCTCCTCGTCCCTGCCAACCTCGCTTGTGACACTGGCGGGGTCGAGAACAGGGCCCCCCCGGCTGATCTTAAACTCTGAGGTGGGACGTAAAGGGAGATCCGTTTGGACAGATACACTGGGCCAGAACCGTATAGGGTTTTGTAGGTCAAAACCAGCACTTTGAATTGTGCTCGGAATTGGATCGGCAGCCAGTGGAGCTGACACAACAGGGGGGTGGTATGCTCCCTGTATGCCGCTCCAGTGAGCAATCTGGCTGCCTCTCGCTGAACTAGTTGAAGTTTCCGAGCAGTCTTCAAAGGCAACCCCACGTAGAGTGCGTTGCAGTAATCTAATCGGGATGTAACAAGAGCGTGGACCACCGTGGCCAGATCCGACTTCCCAAGGTAACCTTTACCCAGTGGGAAGCCAGGGGCCCTAGGAAAAGTTCTCAGAGGCTTCCTTTACAAAAGGAATCTTCAAATGGCTTAAAAGGTACAACAAAGTTATTTTATTAATGAATCAAACAGGAATTGTAAAGCATTCTTGGTAAAGTATCAGTTCTCTCAAACTTGTCCACAGGGAACAGGCACTATCTTCAATAACTTTCTTCAAAGGAAATTTCCCTTTTAACTTCTCCCAAGGCTAACTAAAATCCAACCCTCACTGGTGTGGGCTCCTCTGCCAGGCCAAACTGCTTCTCGAAACACTGAGAGGACCTACCAGACAGGCAATGGATGTTCTTTAGAGTTGGCTGTCGTCCTGGAAACTCCCAAGGCTGTAGGAAGGAATCCCTGGAGTTCTTAGGAGACCCTTAAAGCTGTGGGAATGCTTCCCTGGCGTTCTTTCCCTGGAGCTCTTAAAGGTTGAAGCCTTTGTACAGGGGAAGTAAACACATCCTATACATTGGCTACCTTGCTGTGACTGACTGGAAAAGGCTCCCTTCCCTCCAAAGCCTAGAAAGGGGGTGGAACCAGGGAACCCAATGATAATTGACAGGTGGCTTGCCCTATGAATGCAGCCAAAAGATGCCACCTATCTGCAGAGTCCCTGAAACTTAGAATTATAAACAAACACTCAGTGCAAAGCAAACAAAATTGGAGCTCCTGGTACAGCTGTACCAGCACAGTATCTATACGGTAGAATTAATGTCGTTTGGCATATTAACTACCCTTCCTCAATGCTACAGAATTGTGGGAGTTGTCATTTTATAACCCTTCTCTGCTTGTGTCTTATAAAACTACAAATCCTAGCTTTCCATAGTATTGAGCTATGGCAGATAAAATGGTTTCAATCTGCATTAATTTTGAAAAGGAAAAAAATTATTTTACAGTTTGTGCTTATGCCCATACACAGAGAGATTCCAACAAAATTTTGAGCACCAGTGCTTTTTTCTTCCATTTGGTTCTTAGGATTTACAAAACTGAGTAATGAATTCCTTGCACATGCTGTATCTACTTAGTAGATTCAATCAGGTTAGAGTTAGACCAATTGAACAAAATGCTGAATTGTTGTATTATGTGCCTTAGGGCCAACCTCAACTGTGGTGACTACTATAGGATTTTCTTGACAAAATTAATTTATTCTTGGATTTGCTTGAGCCAGAAATCAAATGCCAGTCTTCTAGAATTCCAGTCTAATATTCCGGCCACTCCATCATCCTGGCTCTGTTGCTGATTGGTAAGCCAGCATGTAGGTAGAAATTGATCTAATGGGTCTGTTTGGGGGAGAATTACCAATTGGGATTGATCCATCTGTCTATTCTAGTGAACAGATGAGTCTCAGACTGAGATTCACGGTTCTTCCTTTGATAACCATCCTGCTCCAAGGCAACAGTGAAGTTGAAACGACCCACAGTATAGGACACCCCATTGTATCCCACATTGCCTGCATTGGGATGCCTCACAGGTTTGCCCCTCACAACCCAGGATCTCCAATACTTCTGATGAAAAGAACAATCATACCCATCCTCTAAGGGCCAATCACAGACCCCCAATTTGGGATGGGAGTGCCTTTCCATTTTGAGATGTTTTGGAAATGTGGGCCATCAATGTCTGTTGGAAAGGGGAAAAAACAGCTCTTGGATGCTGGGTGGCAACTGTTAAGCATGGGTCCCTTACAAGTGTATTAGATTTGGGCCCTGGATGAACATGGAAAGCCCTAACAGAAAGAGATTTCATTCACACTTTAATTCACCGCAGCTCACTTTAGCTGTATCTAGGAGACAAAGAGATTGGATTTGATTTTAAAATGTAAGTAATGCTCATTTAATCAAAAGAAAGACATCAGTTCATGACTTAAGTAAAGGCTATTGCTAAACATAAACCAACAGGGGTCATACAGAAAATCAGCAGCACTATTTAAATATTATCCACACTCTTTCAGGGCAACCAGTGGTTCTCAACCTGGGGTCCCCAGATATTTTTGGCCTACAACTCCCAGAAATCCCAGCCAGTTTAGATTTCTGGGAGTTGAAGGCCAAAAATATCAGGACCCCAGGTTGAGAATCACTGCATTATATGTAAATGTTTTTAGAAATGACAAGAGTTTTCACACACAATATTGTTATTATTATATTTATTTATACCCAGCTTTATTAACATAAAAGCATTAGTATACAATTTAAAATATACAAATATACAAACATTAAAACAGAATTAAACACAAACAGCACTACAAATGTATTGTCGAAGGCTTTCATGGCCGGAATCACTGGGTTGTTGTAATTTTTTTCGGGCTGTATGGCCATGGTCTAGAGGCATTCTCTCCTAACGTTTCGCCTGCATCTATAGCAAGCACCCTCAGAGGTAGTGAGGATGCTTGCCATAGATGCAGGCGAAACGTCAGGAAGAAGATCCAGCAACAAGAAGATCCAACCATTCCATACTTCAGGAAATAAAGCCTGACTGCTCATTGGAGGGAAGGATAGTAGAGGCCAAGATGAAGTACTCTGGCCACATCATGAGAAGACAGGAAAGCTTAGAGAAGACAATGATGCTGGGGAAAATGGAAGGAAAAAGGAAGAGGGGCCGACCAAGAGCAAGATGGATGGATGGCATCCCTGAAGTGACTGGCTTGACCTTGAAGGAGCTGGGGGTGGTGACGGCTGACAGGGAGCTCTGGCGACTGAACGAATGAAAAACAACAAAAATATTCCACGCTATGGGTGCATCTAAACCAGGGGTCCTCAAACTTTTTAAACAGAGGGCCAGGACACAGTCCCTCAAACTGTTTGAGGGCTGGATTATAATTTGGAAAAAAAATTAACGAATTCCTATGTACAGTGCAATTATTATAGTGGAAAAAACACTTTAAAACAATACAATAATTAAAATGGAGAACAATTTTAACAAATATAAACTTATTAGTGTATGGGAAGTGTGGGCCTGCTTTTGGCTGATGAGATAGGACTGTTGTTGTTGTGTGCTTTCAAGTCATTTCAGACTTAGGTTGACTCTGAGCGAGGGCCGGGTAAATGACCTTGAAGGCGCCTGGGACCCCTGATCTAAACTGTAGAATGAATGCTTTAACTGCCATAGCTCAGTCCGATGGGAGGAGCCCCCGGTGGTGTAATGGGTTAAACCCTTGTGCCAATAGGACTGCTGAACAAAAGGTCAACGGTTTGAATCCGAGGATCAGGGTGAGCTCCCATCTGACAGCTCCAGCTTCCCATGCAGGAAGGATGGTAAAAACGTATTGTCGAAGGCTTTCATGGCCAGAATCACTGGGTTGTTGTAGGTTTTTTCGGGCTATATGGTCATGGTCTAGAGGCATTCCCTCCTGACGTTTCGCCTGCATCTATGGCAAGCATCCTCAGAGGTAGTTCTACCTCTGAGGATGCTTGCCATAGATGCAGGCGAAACGTCAGAAAATAATGCCTCTAGTCTAGACCATGGCCATATAGCCTGAAAAAACCTACACAAAACCGATAGTAAAAACATCAAAACATCTGGGCGTCCCCTGGGCGATGTCCTTGCAGATGGCGAATTCTCTCACACCAGAACCGACTTGCAGTTTCTCAAGACATGAAGAAAAAAAAGTACCATGGGATCCTGGGAGTTGTAGTTTGACAAGGTCTTTAGCCTTTTCTGCCAAAGAGCGCTGCATATTATGGTTCTATAGAACAGGCCTGGGCAAACTTTGGCCCTCCGAGTGTTCCTAACCGGCTGTTAGGAATGGTGGGAGTTGAAGTCCAAAACAGCCGGAGGGCCCAAGTTTGCCCAGGCCTGTTCTATAGTATGAAGGGTAAACAAATGTGGGCGAGAGACGTCACGTGACCAAAGGGACGTCCGACGTGCCCTCTTCAAATATGGCGCCAGGGGGTTCGGGATAGGACGCCAAGTTCTTCCCGGCCAACCAGGCGACGCTCTGCCCTGGTCAAAGATGGCGGGCGGTGACACGTCAAGGGGAGGGCAGAGGGGACGGTTCCGGGTGGCGAAAGGCGAGGGCTTCGGCGCGATGGCGGCGGCGGGCAGGGAGGAGGCGGCGGCGGCGGCGGCGATGGCCTGCCTGAAGCGGGGCGGTCCGGGGGCGGCGGAGTCGCTGTTTGAGGCGCACACGGCGGCGGAGCTGCGGGCGGTGGAGCGGCGCCTGCGCGCGGGCATCGAGGGGAAGCGCGAGGAGCTGCGGCAGATGGTGGGCGAGCGCTACCGGGACCTCATCGAGGCGGCAGACACCATCGCGGAGATGCGGCTCAGCGCACAGCGCCTCCTGGAGGCCGTGAGGGGATTGCAGCGCCAGCAGCAGCAGCAGAGGCAGGACGGCGCCAAGGGGAGGAGGGCGGCCCCGCCAACAGCGCCCCCTGCCGCCCAGGTGCGTTGCGGCATCTCTCTCTGTCTCTCTTTCTGGGGGAAGCTACAGCTCTCATGATGCCTTAGTGGTCAAAGGGGTGTCAGACAGCATTAATGTACAGCGTGAATCAGGCATGGACAAACTTTAGCCCTCCAGGGGTTTTAGACTTCAATTCCCACAATTCTTGGTGGCGCAGTGGGTTAAACCGCTGAACTGAGCTGCTGAACTTCCTGACTGGAATACTCTGTTCAACTCTGGGCACCACAGTTGAAGGGAGATGTTGACAAGCTGGAATGTGTCCAGAGGAGGGTGACTAAAATGATCAAGGGTCTGGAGAACAAGCCCTATGAGGAGCGGCTTAAAGAGCTGGGCATGTTTAGCCTGCAGAAGAAAAGGCTGAGAGGAGACATGATGGCCGCATATACATATATGAGGGGAAGTCATAGGGAGGAGGGAGCAAGCTTGTTTTCTGATGCCCTGAATAAGGGCGGCCAAAGGAAGGCCAAAGTTTGTCCATGTCTGATTCACACCTGGAGGGCCAAAGTTTGCCCATGCCTGATTCACACTGTACTAGGACATGGAACAATTATTATTATTTATTATTAACTTTATTTGTACCCCACTAGCATCTCCCGAAAGACTCGATGCGGCTTACAAAGGCCTCAAAATACAACATAACAATATACAACCTAAAGCAAATTAAAAACAGTTAAAGCAATATTAAACAACAAGTAATAAACAATACACCAAGACACAATAAAACTGGGCCGGGCCAGAGTAATGGGTACAGGATTAAAAGTGCTGATGTGACAGGTGATATGTAAGGATTATGGGGTAAGTGCAGTGTGCTAGCAATCTTAATTCTAATAAAGTGCTTCTGAGACTTGTTGCAGTTTTCCTATTCTGGAAAGGCACATCGGAACAGCCAGGTCTTCAATTTCTTTCTAAAGACTGCCAACGTAGGGGACTGTCTAAGATCTTTGGGGAGGGTGTTCCAGAGTCGGGGGGCCACCACAGAAAAGGCCCTGTCTCGCGTCCCCACCAATGGTGTCAAACTACAGGAAAGGAGATTCCATCTGAACATCAGGAAGAACTTTCTGGCTGAGAGCTGTTCAGCAGTGGAACTCTCTGTCCTGGAGAGTGGTGGAGGCTCCTTCTTTGGAGGCTTTTAAGTAGAGGCTGAATGGCCATCTGTCGGTGGTGCTTTGGATGCAATTTTCCTGCTTCTTGGCAGGGTGTTGGACTGGATGGCCCACAACGTCTTTTCCATCTCTATGATTCTATGATTCTGTGGTGCGAATCCAGAGAGTGGTGTTAGGCCCAGCTTCTGTCAAGCTAGCAGTTCGAAAACATGCAATAGGTACTGCTCCGGCGGGATGGTAATGGCACTCCACACAGTCATGCTGGCCACATGACCTTGGAGGCATTTACGGACAGTGCCGGCTTTTCGGCTTAGAAATGGAGATGAGCACCAACCTCCAGAGTTGGACACAACTAGACTTAATGTCAGGGAAAACCTTTACGTAAGTCCATACTTCAGGAAATAAAGCCCGACTGCTTATTGGAGGGAAGGCAAAGATGAAGTACTTTGGCCACATCATGAGAAGACAGGAAAGCTTAGAGAAGATAATGATGCTGGGGAAAATGGAAGGAAAAAGGAAGAGGGGCTGACCAAGGGCAAGATGGATGGATGGTATCCTGGAAGTGACTGACTTGACCTTGAAGGAGCTGGTGGTGGCGACGGCCGACAGGGAGCTCTGTGGTGGGCTGGTCAATTAGGTCACGAAGAGTCTGAAGTGACTGAACGAACAAACAACAAAGTATTGTGGGAATTGAATTTCAAAATACCTGAAGGCCTAAAGTTTGCCCGTGCCTGGTGACCACCTTGCACCTCGATGTTATCAGACTACCGTATATTCCGGGGTACAAGACGACTTTCTAAGCCAGGAAAATCATCTCAAAAGTGGGGAGTCGTCTTGTACCTGGGTATAAAGTTTGTTGGATCATTTCTCCCTCGTCTCCCTCGCCCTTGGCATTCCCACGTGGTGGAGCCTGAAAACGAGGAGGGTGGAGGGAGAGAAGGAGGGGCTGAGGAGGAGGAGTGGCAGGCTTTGCTACCAAGCCGGCAGCTTAGTAGCCTACTGGGCTGTCTTCACCCTCGCCAGCATTGAGTTGGCTCCGCCACTGCCTCCCCACTCCGGTTTTGGCTTCATGCTTGCATTGGTCAGCAGGATCTTCACGGGTGTCCCATGTTTCTTCAGTCGCAGGAGAAGTTCTATTGCTTGGCAGCACAGATCCAGCTCCTGCTGCAGATTCCTGAGAAAATCTGGAGTGCCATGGAGTCCTGTCAGTACCTGTATGCTACCCAGTTGTACCTGCTGTGCTGCCACCTCCATGGGCTCCTGCAGTTGGATTCTTCTGGCACCCGCTACAGCCCAATTTTGGCGCGCTTCCCTATCCTTGCACGACAAGTAGCAGCAGCCAGCCACTTTCGGTAAGTAACCCACTTATGTTCTGTCTGTCTGTCTTTGATTATTGCTTCCTTTATTGCATTATTGTATTTTCAATACACCTTCCTGTTGCAAGATCTCAGTGTGGTAACAAAGAAGTAAAATTATGGGAAATATCCCTCCTCACTCCCAACAAGCCCAGAATTCATAAATGCTGTTCTAACACCAAGCATAGATGTTCAGTTTTTATCCTTCAGAATTGTAAAGAATTTCTGATAGGAATGTATGTTGAAACTTGAAAAACCACCAGTGATTTATGTGTGTGTGTTAAGGGTGTGAACACCTCTACATAGATTCTTTGGCCGTCGTTTGTTCAGGCAATTGAAGCTTTATAACTTGGAAGTCAAATTAGGTCCTTTGTTCTTTTGCATACAAGGAAGTGGATTAGTCACAAAGAGCATTTGAGATATTTTTGAGCTGGCAGTAAAAACATAAAACACGTGATGTGTTTCATCCCATATTTTGCTTTCTGTATAGAAAACTGATTTTTAAAACTTGCTGGCAATTGGGTAGGTGTTTTTTTTTCCATGTCAGGAGCAACTAGGGAAACTGCAAGCTGCTTCTGGTGTGAGAGAATTGGCTGTCTGCAAGGAGGTTGCCCAGGGGACACCTGGATGTTTGTCACCCTGTGGGAAGCTTCTCTTATGTCCCCGCATGGGGAGCAGGAGCTGACAGACATAGGCCACGCCTCTCCCCCCGATTTGAACTGCCGACCTTTTGGCCAGCAGTCCTGCCGGCACAAGGGTTTAACCCATTGCACCACTGGGGGCTCCCTTGAGTAGGTAGCCTAGTAGTATCTAAGGTAAGAGGTTTCAACGGGAGAGGGGTTCTGAAGATTCCCCTCCCGTTGAAACCTGAAATTCTGAAGATTGACAGTGCTTGTCTTTCCCAAAAGTTGGAAAACCCGGTTTGGAAGGTCTGTTCTTCCTCTTTTCACATTTCTAAGTAATGCTTCCTTTCCATGTTAAGCAGAACAGATCATTGGCTCTGCTGCTCTGATTGTTGCTCTGCATTCAGACTCCCAGATTACTTGAATTATCATTAATAGTTGTGGCAGGTCTTTCTCTTTGCGTATTCTTGGAGAGTGTGACAGACATCATTCCCCAATGCCCTGATTTGCAGCATTTCAGAAATGCTTTGGTTGAAGTATGCCAAGTCTTTTGAGGGTGGTATTGTCAGGTATGCAAGCCTGCTTTTCCTTCTCAGTGTTACATGGTTTCAAATGATGATCCTCTTTCTCCCTGAGCTTTGCTCTGAAGTTTAAAATCCTTTGTCAGAACTCTTGACCACGTCTCATATATTCCCAACTAGGTCAACTATTCTACAGGAGAGTAAGTCCCTGCTAAAATCCCAGACTGTTCAGGATCAAGGAGTAGCAGAGGCCTTGTGCGCAGCCATGCTTCTTGAGGATAGTTCTCCACGCCAGGCTCTTGCAGATTTTCTGCTGGCCAGGAAGTCTGCGATCCAGCAGCTTCTGAATCAGCCTCATCACGGTCAGTACAACTGCATGGTGCAGACACAGCACAATCTTTCTCCTTCTCTAAGCCATATAAAGGTCTTTCATCTTGACAGCCAAGGTTTTTTAATATTTTGAGTGGTGGGCTGGGAGACCTCGGTTCAAATCTCCACTCAGCCATTGAAATGCACTGGACTTCTCACTTCTGTTGAATGAGAGGACAGCAATGAAAAAAATCCTCTGAATAAGTATTGCCAAGGAAACCCTGTTATAGGTTTGCCTTATGATTATTGTCAGAAATGACTTGAAGACATGCACACACACACACACACACACATCTATCATGAATATACTACTGCTTTGCTTCTTAGCTGTCTAATGAGAATATGTATATGGCTTCAATTACTTGTTGACTAAACTTTTTTTTAAATGAACACAGATGCTGGCATAAAAGCGCAAGTCTGCTCCTTGGTGGATCTCCTAGCCACAACGTTGTTTCAGGCTCATGCCCTCTTCTATACACTGCCAGAAGGAACACCAGCAGATCCATCTCTTCCCTGTGGCTTGCTCTTTTCAACATTGGAGACCATCACAAGTCAGCACCCAACAGGTGAATCATGGGGCCCGTGGGGGTTTCTTGTTTGCTTTGAGCAGAGCTTTCCAAACTGTGTATTGTGACACATTAGTGTGTCAGCTCCAGAGTGTAATAATAACAATAAACTTTATTTATATTCCACTACCATCTCACAAAAGGGACTTGGGTAGCTTACACTGCAGTTCAGTATATAACATAAACAATATATGAGTATGAAACAATATTGCTTAAAAAATTGTAAATGACTATCAACACATAAAATAAAATAACACAGTTTAAAACACAGAAACATCTGTAGTTTAAACTAGCTGCCATCAATTCAAACTAAAGTGCCAGAGTGTCAACCTCATATGGGCCCATTTCAGCCTTAAAAAATCCTATTTTTTAAAATACTAGCTGTCCCCTGCACGCGTTGCTGTGGCCCAGTCTGGTGATCTGAAAAATAAAGTAATGGTTTCTAATATATGTAACGTCTTGATGCTTGTGGGTAAACAGTATTCCTTGTTGTTTCTTTGTCAGTGTTGATGTGGATATTGTCTGGTTTGCCTACTCTGGAACAAGCAACATATAATTGTCCTTCTTTAGGGGACCCTTTCAAATCTAGGATATTATATCTCTCTCTGTGTGTGAATCATATCTATCTATATCTATATCTATCTATATATATGTATGGCTGGATGGCTCTTTGTCAGGAGGACTTTGATTATGTTTTTTTTGGATTGGATGGCCTTAAGTATTTTCTGTTGGTCATGGGGGTTCTGTGTGGGAAGTTTGCCCCGATTCTGTCGTTTGTGGGGTTCAGAATGCTCTTTGATTGTAGGTGAAGTGCTTCTACCCCGCCCTTCTCAACCCCCTAGGGGGGACTCAGGGCGGCTTACAAAAAAAGGCACAATTCGATGCCCAACAATTCACAAAATACAATATACAATTTACAATTTAACATCAACAATTGTCACTAGTTAAAACATCACATCAATACAATAACAGTAATAAAATCATCCTGTGGCCAATGTTCGCCGATTTATAATTCCATAATCCATCCAGCATTGTCATTGTCCTTTCCTGCTCTGGTCGTCCTTGTCTTTGTCCATCTGCCAGCTTACCCAAAGGCCTGGTCCCACATCCAGGTTTTTAACTTCCTCCTGAAGGAGAGGAGGGATGTTGATGACCTAATTTCCCTGGGGAGTGCATTCCACAGGCGAGGGGCCACCACCGAGAAGGCCCTGTCCCTCGTCCCCACCAGCCTCACTTGTGATAAAGGTGGGGCCAAGAGCAGGGCCTCCCCAGAAGATCTTAAACTCCGAGGTGGGACGTAGAAGGAGATACGTTCGGACAGGTATGCTGGGCCGGAGCCGTAAAGGGTTGTAGGCTCTTTGATTGTAGGTGAACTGTGAATCCCAGTGACTACAACTCCCAAATGTCAAGGTCTATTTCCCCCAAACTCCATCTGTGTTCATATTTGGGCATATTGAGTGCTTGTGCCAAGTTTGGTCCAGATCCATCATTGTTTGAGTCCACAGTGCTGTTTGGATGTTGGTGAACTGCAAACTCCCAAACTCAAGGTCAATGCCCACCAAACCCTTCCAGTATTTTCTGTTGGTCATGGGAGTTCTGTGTGCCAAGTTTGGTTCAATTCCATCGTTCGTGGAGTTCAGAATGCTATTTGAGTGTAAGTGAACTATAAATCCCAGCAACTACAACTCCCAAATGACAAAATCATAATTTTTTGAGTGATGGTCACTCCTTGTGTTGTGAAACGTTTTATTGCAAAATTTGGTGTGATTTTGTTCATTGGTTCTTTTGTTTTTAAGGTACTCATTATGCACAGAACATTTAGATAGATAGATAGATAGATAGATAGATAGATAGATAGATAGATAGATAGGTAGGTAGATAGGTAGATAGGTAGATAGGTAGATAGGTAGATAGGTAGATAGATAGATGAAAAGCTTTTCTTGAAATATATTGTTTCTCCATACATTTCATTATTACAATTTATTTCTGTGTCTGTATCTCTAATAAGGAGTTGGTTTAACCTTTGGTTTGTTAGTAAAACTGAATTACTGGGTAGTGAAACGATGTGTGTCCAAAAAGTACGAAATGGTGACTTAGAGATTCATTTGATCCTCAGTGGCCTCATATCTGTCTTTTCTCCACAATTCTCCAAGGTAAAGGCATCACAGTTTTGAATGAAGAAAGCAAGTTGAGCAGCTCCTTCAAACACTTGCCGTCTTCTGTCACAGAATTCCAGCCAGCGCTCAGGACTTTGGCACATCCCATTAGCCAGGATTACCTAAAAGACACCCTCCAGAAATGGATCAATGTGTGAGTCTGTAAAGAACTTAGCTGGCTGGAGGCATTTGCCTTTGTGGCCAAGTTGAAAAGCACGTTGTATCTTTGATAATGTGAAAATGATTGTGTTTGGCGTCGGAGAAGGATCGTGGAGAAAGAGATGAAAAGATCGGGATTTTAGCTTTGCACATTTACAGCCAGTCCCCAAGTTATGAACAAGATACGTAGGTTTGTTCTTAAGTTGAATTTGTACGTAAGTTAACTCAGGCCAAAAATATATGCTTTAGGGAAGGGTTAACACTCCTGTGCTGTTTGCTTTGCTTTCTGTGCCCTTGTTCAGAAGATTTCACATCACTTTCTGTCCCTATAATAATTGGATTTTGAAAAATGTGGCTTGTTGTGGAAACAAGGATTGGTTATAAAACTTCACTTGAGACCCCTTTTTCCCATGTTAACTCTTTTAGGGGTAAATTTTCCTTCCTAGAGGTAGATTCCTCTCACTATCTGCTGTCTCACTCCTGTTCTTAACTGTGAATTGTTTATAAGTCAGATGCTTGTATCTCGGGGACTGTCTGTATACTGTCCTTCATCACATATTGGACAAAAAAGTAAACAATCTAAAAATACCACATAAAAATGATAGAACATAAAGTTATAAAATGCTACCATGGTTTATGATTAGTTAAAAGATATACTACTAGAGATAACACTAGTTAAGGCCAGAACACATACTTGTGTTGTAGAAGTAGTAGTTAGCGGAGGGTTTTTTTACTGTGAGATTGCCACCACATAGGCCTGTTTTATGACTTCTGGCAAGCATACCTTCTCTCTATACAGCCAGTTCCCTTCACCTGATCAAAGCAATCTCACAGTGATCTTAAGGAAGAAGCTGCTCCTTCTGCTATTCCTTTGCTAATGGTTTATCACTTCTAAAGGACACCCAGAAGAAGAGGTGGGCCATTACAGTTTGAAACCGCTACCATACCATGCCCAAATGGAAGCTCCACACAAAACACATTGCAGTTGTCCATCCCTGAAATTAGTGGTGCTTGACTCACCATAGTAAGGCTTAATCTTAACTGGATAAAGCTAGCAAAGCTAGTAATACTCTTGAGAACTATTACTAGGCTTCTGGTAATAAAGATGAAAGAAAGGACATGCCCACCAAATTTCAGAGGGAAATTGCATCCACCCACTCACTTGCTTGTGTTTATTTCAGCTGCAATGAAGATATCGTATCTGGGATCACAAGCCTGCTGGTGTATGTGAAAAGCCTGAAAGGTTTGGCTGGGATCCGTGATGCTGTATGGGAGCTGCTCACTAGTGAGTCCATGAGTCAAAACTGGGAAACAGTATGTCGCTGTCTTCTTGACAAGCCCTTCTCTCTCTGGGAAGATCTGTTACGGCAACTCTTCTTGAACAGGTTACAGGTAAGATTGTAATTCATCTTGGCTAGGTAGGCCACCAGATTCAGCCAAATGTCCAGTACCAAAAAAATGGCTCTTTGGTGGACAATAGCCTTTTCTGTGTAGACCTAACTAGAGGTGTTGGAGATGGACTAAAAGTTTTTTCTTTAGTTCTCGAATAATTACTACAGGAAAGAAATGTCCATCATTTGAGGGCTGCCATCTGGTCTTCATTATTAATAACACAATGCTAAGGCAATCTACATTGAACCCAGCTCTTGTTTTTTTGATTTCCCTATTGCTTTCTCATATGTCCATAACTCACTCTGAATGTTTCCCATTTGTGCATGTCCTCCATACTTGATGTACTTCTTTGCCTACTTTCCAGAGGCAGGAATATTCTTGGTTACCAATTCTAGTCTAGAGACATTTGAGACTAAATATGGAGTTTGTTTCCAAAAACTGCCAAATCCAAAAGAAATGGAAAAATAAGTTATAAGTGTCAGCATATTGTTAGCCAGGAATAGAATATTATGTACAGATATAATAATAATAATAATAATAATAATAATAATAACAACAACAATAATAATAACAAAAACAACAACAATATAAAACAATAAACATTGACAAAATCACAATCTGTCAACTGCAAAAGGTGACCTTACTTGGATCATTCGAAAATACTTCACACAGTCCTAAGCGCTTGGGAAGTGTTTGACTAATGATTTTGTGATACGAAATCCAGCATATATATCTTGTTTGCTGTGTCATACTGTGTTTTTGTGTCAGTAAAATATAAAACTTTATGTATATTCTGCCCTATCTCCCCGAAGGGACTCAGGGTGGATTCCAGTTACAAAAAGGCAAACATTCAATGCCTGACTACGACAACTAATACACACACAATAGCAAAAATAATAACCCAACATATAAAACATTATAACTTAACATCTAAAATTAAGATAAGACATAACCTATCAAATAAATTATATCAATATAGAACAAAGCATTAAACAAAAGCATCAATTTCCCAGAGTCAACATAATTCATTGGGGGTATATAAGTTGCTTATTAACAAAGATGTTAACTGGGCTAACTGAGTAAACAAAATGCGTCAAATCACTTCAGTATAGGGTGTGGAAAATTGCATTCTATAACAAAAGAATGTGAATCCTCAGCACATTTTTTTTATTCTTGTAAAATTTGTTCAGGTGAAGTGGTACCTTTTGGAAACAAACTCCACAAATGCCACCTAGAAGTTCCAGTTTCTGTAAAGCCATGCATTTCCTATCATGGCTTAAAACCATTCTTTGAGCTCTGCTTGGAACCATAAAGAGTTGTGTAATGATCTTTTCATCTCTCTTCCGCCCCCGCTTCCCAGACACTGACAGAGGAAGGATTTGATGACATCTCCAGCAGCTCCAGAGAGCTCCTTGTTCAGGCTGTACAGGAGCTTGAGACTAAATTTGACGCTTCTGCCCCCAACAAGAGCATCCTCTTTGAACATAACATGGCTTCCTTCTTATGGTCAGAGAATCCTAATGACTTGCCACCTGATGCTGCTTGGATCAGTGTGGGGAACCGCAGCCAGTTCGCCAAGAGTGGGTTGTCCATGAAGGCTCAGGCCCACAGCCCTGGAGTCCAGAGCTTCTGCAGTGCTTTGGATTCCAAACTCAAGGCCAAACTGGACGACCTTCTCTCTTACCTGCCTACGGATTCCCCTTCATCTAAGGACATTCAGCAGATCCAGTCCAGGAACTCTGCCTTTGACAGATTTGCTGATGCAGGGACGGTGGAGGAGTTGTTGCGCAGCCACTGTATCCGCTGTGTGGATCATGTGCTGGATTGTGTTCGGGGAGAGCTGTGCCGTGCTCAGAAAGTGCTCCAGGGGTGTAAAGATGCTTTGCACAACCCCCAGATTAACACTGTCCTTTTCATGGCGCGGCTCTGTCGGTCGTTAGGGGAGCTGTGCCCACACTTGAAGCAGTGCATCCTGGGGAAATCAGGCTGCCCAGACAATGTGACCAGAGACCCCTGGCCTCTGAAAAAGGCGGGGAAAGGGAAGACTCAGGAAGTGAACCCTATCAAGTCAAAATGGCAAGAACTGAAGGAACGGCTGCTGCAGAATAGCCTGGCTGCCTATCAGATCTGGAGCATCACTGTTGCAAAAGTGAGTGTCCTTCATGTGGAGCGGGCACAATATCTCAGAATCTTTGCTACTACACATTTGAAATCTGCAAGAGATAATAGAAGGCAAAAATGCTGGGAATTAGTTTTTGTCCCATAGGTAAAGGTAAAGGTTTCCTGTTAAGTCTAGTCATGTCTAACTCTGGGGGTGGTGCTCATCTCCATTTCTAAGCTAAAGAGCCGGCATTGTCCGTAGATGTCTCCAAGGTCATTTGGCTGGTGTGACTTCATGGAGCGCTGTTAGCTTCCTGCAGAAGTGGCACCTATTGATCTACTCACATTTGCATGTTTTCGAACTGCTAGGTTGTCAGAAGCTGGGCCTAACAGAGGGAACTCACCCTGCTCCCCACATTTGAACCACTCAACTTCCAGTCAGCAAGTTCAGCAGCTTAACCCGCTGTGCCACTAGTGCCCCATAAGGTCTTGCATACTCACAGAATGTCGCTTTTAGTCCTCAAGGCATCAGTCTGATACAGTAGCATAGGCCAGAGCTGAAGTTAAAGCTGCTTGTACCTAATTCTTCTATAATTCTTCCATACCTCTTACCAACATGTTAAGGCCAAAAGGTTGCACTACAAGAGTATAATATTTCATTAATAAAATAAAATAAACAGTTTCAAATGGAAGTGTTTGAAGCAGTTAGGCTATGATCTCCATACAGCAAATTACAATTCTGAGAAATTTTTAAATTGAAAAGTTGCATGGTGACTATATACAGTTGCTTTATTATTTTATAAGCCAGCAGAACCAGTCTGGCTCTAACTCTTGTTTGTGTTTAGATCCTGGTCCAGAGTTTCGCAAAGTCGCTGCTAAAGGATGAACCTGGGTCCATTCTGGCAACTGCCACCAACTGGGAGGAGATTGAAATTGAGGAAGAGACTGAAACTGGAAGCAGTGTAAAGTCCAAGATACGGCTACCTGTCCAGGTAGGATAGAAGACGGGAAGTAGTATAAGGATGGCCATAAGAAATAGTTGTTTTGAAAAGTATTTTCTCTAGGAAGTAGGAAACGGATACCAAAATAGGCCAATAACTTCCCAGCATTGTTGAGCCTTGGCCCACATTTTCCCAATGCCAATCTTGTGAGGAATGCAGAATCACCAAGTTAACACTATGGCCTGATAGCCATTTGGACTTTTCCTCCCACCAAATTTATTTCCAGTAAGGAAGAAGATTAGCTAGTAGAATCCAGTGCCTGGCTCAGATGGACTGGAAGTATATCTTGTAGAGTTTGTTTCCGAAGGGTACCAAATCCATCTGAACAAATTTTACAGGAATTGGAAAAAAAATTCTGAGGATATAAATTTTTTTGCTATAAAATGCAATTTTCCAAACCCTGTTGAGAAGTGATTTGATAGATTTTGATAGTTTTGACCTATACATAACATTCTAGCCTACAATGTTTTGACACCTATAACTCATTTTTCACTGGGGGGGGATTTAGTACTTTTGGATTCAAACTCCACATATGCTTCAGTGTGTGTGTTTTCCCACCCCTTTCAAAGACCTTTTTCATGTCTTTGTTTAAAACAGCTTTTAAAGTGATATTTATACAAATTGAGATTTGTCTAGTATGCTTAGTACCAAATTATGCATATTTTTACTACGGAATATTAGCCACTTGCTTGTAAAATTTGACACAGGTTTGGATTTGCGATAGCAGCTATAAATGTGCAGTGTTACACATTGTACTCATGATCCTTGTGTATTCAATAGTGTAGGAAATATGTAGTGATCATCAGAATCCTCCAGCCTTGATTGATGGGGCAGCAACTGCTGCAGACAGCTCCTATTGATCAGGATACAGCAGACAGATGTTTCCACCCCTCTCCTGCAAGCAGCCTCCACTGCATCAGTCAGGAACAGACATCACAATCCTGTATCCTCTTTTACTTAGCATAGCTTTACATATATTTAGCTAAATAACAGAGGGGCTGACAAACTCTCTTAGTGAATTGTGAATAGGTGCATTTGGATACTGGAAAAAGTGTCTGTTGTGCATTCAATGTACAGTATGCATCAGGCAGTTTGCTGGCTCTGCTATGTAGTAACAGTAGTGCTTTACTAGATACACACATTACAAAACTGTCTAGCTCTAATTCCCACATAAGTTAAGTCCAGGCCCTCAATATATGGGAAGGCATAACTCCCATACAGGACTCTGGCTAGAATCCCCGGAGTAGAGAAAGGAGGATATTACTCTGCTGGATCTCAATCAACAGGAGGACATACCCATCACTCACAGGAGCTGCTTCCTGGGTAATCGTAGGAGATGCTACTTAATTCAGTAGTGAATGTATTATACCAGCCTTTATTTATAGCAGTGTTTCTCAAACTGTGCTCCTCTAGAAATCCCAGCCACCTTACCAGATGTTAGGAATTGTGGGAGCTGAAGTCCAAAACATCTGGAAGAGCAGTTTGAAGAACACTGATTTATAGTATTTCTTTATATATAGCTTGTGGACAGTGTCACTGTCAAATGCATGAACAATCTCTTCTCAAAAAATAACATTTCAACTGTTCTGCTTTTTCACAGCCATCGTGGTGTGTTCAGTCCCTTCTCTTCAGCCTGTGCCAAGAGGTCAATCGAGTCGGAGGTCACACTCTTCCCAAGGTCACCTTGCAAGAATTGTTGAAGACTTGTATGACTGAAGTATTAGCTGGTTATGAAAAGCTCTCTGAAGTGAAACAGGAAAAGGTGTGTGTGTCTTGGATGAACTACTATACGTTATTGGATGAGGTTATTTTTCATATTCCAACCCCAAAAATGTGTTTGGAAATCAGAAAGTAAGAAAGGCAAAAGTTACTGAGGACAAAATGTGATCGGACCCTAGCTCTCTTTGCATAAGCCAGTGCCTTCTTCAGTACAACCAGAGCACATTCTGGTAAAGCCCTGTGCTCAAGTGCAAGCTGTGCCTCCTATGTTTGTCTTGTATATTGGTGCTGACAACGTGTCCTTTGCAAAGCATTAAAATACATATGCCACTATAAGCAAGGATTACTCTTCACACATCCCTATGTTCAGGGCACATTTTCTAGCTCATCCCCATATGAAGTGAGCAGAGTGGATCCTAAATAGGGCTGCTCAGTTGTGGATACAGCTGCCGGACTGCTCAACGCCCTCAGACTTTGAATTAGATCTACTGAATCTACTGCCCATGTGCCAGTCTGTCTCTAAGGGCTTCCAGATTTCATAGTCTTGCCCCTGTCACCCCTTGCTGATCACCATTGTGATTTTGTTGCTTTTGATTTTTTTGGAAAATGTCTGTGTGCATGAATTTGTTTAAATATGAAGATTGGTGCACAACGACCAACAGACACACAGAGAGGTTTTGATCCAAAGGCATGATCGTGGCATGTATGTATTTTCTTGGTGTGGCTGCCATGTTGGTCCTGGCTGTTAGTTCCATGTAGAGTGGATCCACTAAATCAGCAAAATGTACAAGGCTCTATGCTAGTCGGGATGAGAGTAGATTTCGGTCTTTGCAGAAACATACATTTGACCAGCTACATAACCTAATGAAACAAGCATTAGATGTATAAAATCTCCATGACCCATTACTCTGCATCCATGACGATACTCTCGGTACTAAACACAACATCAAGGTTAAAGATTGAGAACTTGTGGCCTCCATTTTGCTAGAACGTAATTTCCATCCCTTATTTTTTATGCTGGCAAGGGTTGGCAGGATTTGCACATGAACATCTGAAGAACCACACTTCTCTGCCCATAATTCAGATGAAAGAGACTATTTATTTAAAATTTTCTTTTTAAAAGATGTGGCAATCAGCAAATCAAATATTTTCTTATGCGCAAGGCTTTCTTTTTCTTCCATTTTCTCTTTGCAGAAGGAAGGAACGTTACCCATGACTCAGAACAGAGCTTTGCAACTCTTATATGATCTTCGGTATCTGAATATAGTTTTGACGGCCAAGAGCGAAGATATGAAAAGCAGCAGAAACAAACAAGATTCCAGGTACAGTGCTCAGGCAAGCTTCAAAACTTTGCTATGTCCTTTGGGTATTGGTCTCTATGTCCTTTGATGGCACATCAACCACTAGGTATTAGGGTTATGCATGAATCTGTTTTTCAAAATGATCTTTCACTGTTTCAGCTGGCTGCACGACACAGGCTCCGCTACTATTTTTTTCCAGCCACAGCGGACCGTACTCTGTCCTGTGGATACCTGGCTCTTACTGATTTATCCTTTTTTGCCAGCCCTGACTGCAATCACAGATGTGTAGTAGAAGTGGATGGGGTTTAAGGTTTACGTGTGATAAATTATGACAAAGTGAATACTGCCCATATAGGGATTTTGATGCAGCTTAGTTCCTCACATTGGGCAGTTTGAACAGCGGCATAAGGAGGCAAGCCTGTATGAAAAATGGTCTTTCCCCTCACACTTAACCTTTACTATTTGCAACTAGAGTGAACCTTTCTAGCCACTTGGAAGAGGCCTTGGTTTGTAGCAGATAATAAGTAGCAAGACCTCCTTATGTGTAAACTTTATGCATAGCGGTCTGTAAACAATTCATTCACTCAGAATTGCATGTAATTTATTGTGCTATCCTCATATACAAGTTAAATAATAATACTGCTTGTATTTGCCCATTTGTACATGAAAGTCATGCCAGTGCTTCCGAAAGTATGAAAACTACAGTAAATTGAAGAGGAGGTTACATCAAGGGTGCCTTGATGAGAACAGATGTTAGAAGACATCTTCTTTATTTTATGAGAAACGTTTTGTTGTTCGTTTAATTCAGGATACTATGTTTTCTAAGAATTCCATTTCACATTGGTTGGAAACTGTTCAAATTCCTACTCCTTGTATTTTCACTTAGTCTGTTTTGGAATCATTTCTTTTACTTTCTGGGGAATTAAATTTCATCCATGGGACTAGTGTGAAATTCTCTGTTCCACGGTGTGTTTCTTTTGGAATGGCCATTATCAACAAGATTGTTTTTTATTTCATTTCAGGATTGAGAAGCATACAGACTTTCTGGAGAGTTATATTGATCCTTTTGACTTGGATGTATTTACTCCACACTTGAACAGCAACCTTAATCGTCTTGTGCAGCGAACCTCTGTAAGTGATCCTTTTGACACAAGATATAATAAGTATTGCAAAACATGGTTAGCTACTCTAAACCAAGCTGTACTGGCTCCAAAAGCATTGCAGTGACAGAATATTTTGTAGGACAGGATGGTCACTGAAAATGAGCAACTGTCATAGCATATACATGGTGCAACACACTTCATTCCCAGATCATTAACAAGATAGATATAAAGGCAACTGCACTTTAATTTTATAGTGTTTCTTAATTTCTTTAGTGTTCTCTAGAATTAGTAGCCGCACCCTTAAATCTTGAAACATAGCTCTATGATAGTGTCCTCTTAATTTTCCACACACCTTTCTTCAGTTGCAGCCCACTGAACCTGACCATTTCCTCACTGTTGGAAGAGCAGAGAGAACAGTAGATAAGTTACTTTCTTACAGTTGTGTGAAAATCAATGACAGCATGTGCAGAGACCTCCAGAGGTCCTTGCAGTTTCCTGTCGTTGTGTGTCCAGATAAAGGAAAATAACTTGTTTTCACCAGCCACCAGCTAGGTTTTTTTGGAAGGGTGGAGTTGTGTAAGATATTTTGGTCACTGTTGTTTGTGGAGAAATCCGACCTCCCCAACACCCAAAGAAGGGACTTGCAACAGAGTTGGGACTTGTACCACTGTGATTCTTTGACAGGGTGCCAGCCAATATTCCTCTCTTTAATAGTTATAAACAAGAATAAGACCATATGGGCAACCATATAAACTATGACATATCACACTCCTTAACCAGAGAAGCGCTGGCTTTAATCAGGTGTAATAGTTATAGAGCATCCTTACATTCTTGTATGTTTCCTGTGATGTCTTTAAATCTCAAAACCATGTTTATAATTCTTTGGATTTGAAATCTCTTGTCCTCAAAACAAGGTGACTCTCTTCTTTGATCTAGGTTTTGTTTGGCTTATTAATGGGATCAGAGAATCAGTACAGCAGCCGAAGCAGTACTTTAACGTCTCAGGAACTGCATAACATCCTACCTCTTGCATCTTCTCAGATCAGGTAAGTGACTAGAGATGTAACCAATCCAAAGTACTCCTCAGATGCAAATCACCTTTAAATGATTTTTTTTCTTTTAAAGATTTGGACTGTTACCTCTTAGTATGTCAAGCTCTCGTGCGACTAAGTCAGCTCTGAGAAACAGTGAACATAAACCTCAGGTTGGTTCCTTTCTTTTCACTCATCTATTCCTATTATTCCTGGCTCTTAAGGGATATTAACGTTTACTAAATGCAAAGGGGGTGGTTAAAATTAGGTAACCATATCGCAACAATTGAAAACCAGGACTAGTACATTTCCATACCTCTCAGAAGGTGAAAACTAACCTAATAAGTATTAACTTGGAATAGGACAGAAATTACTGGTAAAAAAAATCTTACTAATACAGATGTAAACAGCTGTATAATTAATTTTGGTTTATTTTAGGAGTAGCAAGAATGTCAAAGGACTGCCTGCCTAACTCTGTCTTGTACCCTTCATTCTAGTATGATGCAGACGAATAACCCCTGAAGAACATTGTTGGGGTATTAAAGCTTGTGTGAACTGAGTGGCTTCTTCTCTTTTGTAGGCTGATCATTTACGCTTGCATCAGTAGAAAGCTATTGCTCTGACACAAATGTATTCTATATGCCATAGAATTTGAAAGCTGTCAAAGTTACCTTGTGATCTGAGAAAGTGAATGTGTTAGCAATGGACCAAAAAATCTGATTTTTCTTCTTCTGTGTTGCTGTGGAACTATTGCTCCCTGCAAAATGTTAAAGAGTTGGTTGGACACAAAAGGAAGGCTTTCTGTGGGATGGTGGCTTTACTTGCTTGTTGTTTATTTTGCTAGAGTGCCACTTTGTCCTCTGTGTGCTTTCAGAAAGCTCTTTAAAGCCCTCCTGTAAAACTTACCTATGCATGTCTATACAGCAACAGCAGTCTTCTCTTTTATGGCTGCAGTGTGTGTGCATATAGCATACATTACCTGCATGTCTCATGTATATATATATATATTTTAGATGACAGGAACACAGAACTAATATGATAGCTCTTACTGATTCTCAGTGTTCGTTGTGCTATAAATCAGGGGGGAAAAAACTGTTCCTGTTTCAATATTAAGATGGTGCTGGACCCCAGTGACAGGAGCAGAACTGCCCACCTGATCCTTCCAAGCTGAAAGCTTTTGCATTTCTTCACTTTAGAGAAAAAGAAACAACTTAACTGCACGGCTTTAAAATTTGGCAGTTTATGCCCAGCATTGCATTTTCTGTAGTTCTTTCTTTTCATTCTCCCTTTCTCTCATATACCTTGTCCTTCTCTCTTTACTTTACTTTCTTTTCTTATTCCCTTGCTTTCCCTCATACACCCTCCTCCCTCTTCTTTCTTCCCTCTTCTTTTGCTCCTTTCCCATCTTTTAATTCCTTCCTTCTCCATACTGTTTCCCTCCTTTCCCTTCCTTTTCCCTTTCTTCTCAATCTCCCCCTTCTTTCCTTCCATTACTTTCTTCCAATTTCCTTTCTTTGTCACCCTATCTCCCTTTTCTTTCATTCCCCATCTTCCCCCTCTTCGTTTTGTTCTTTTCTTCCTTCATTCATCTTAGTTTTTCTTTCTTCCCTCCATCTCTCCTTCACATCTCCCATCCCTTCTTTTTCGTATTGTTCTCCTGCCTCCCCCTTATACATCTTCCCCACATTTTCTCCTCTGCTCTCTTTTCCCCTTCTTCTTCCCTTCCTTTTCCTAGCAGGCTCCCACTGATGGTACATACCATGTGGGGTCAAAGCTAGAACTTTGTGGGTTCTAGCTGCTAGTGTCTTCCAAGTCAAAATGGCCGCAGCAAAGAGCCTGCAAGGGCCTCCAGCCAGGGAGTAGGCCACTAAGCTGGCTCGGGCCAAGGAAAATGATCAGGCTGCTTCGACCTGGGCCAAGTGCAGCAGCCACATTGTCACAGTACCCATGCCAGCCTTTGTAGCCTTCAAACTTTAGACACATGTGAGTGGGCCACATCACCTGGCAGCAGCCAATCAGCTTTGCTTCCTTTCTTTCTCTCATCTGTGCTTTAAAAGGAGTGGATTTTTTAGTCAAAACTACACCAACACTTCAAATTGGGTAAGGAAGGGTTTGTTTAGCAAGTTTGGTCCAGATCGAGTCGTTACCAATCAGGCCGCTCCACTTACATGGATGCAGTATGGGTGGGGATTTACTCAATGAGCTCTGATATAAAGGAAGTAGTCTGGATGCTTCCCCATTCTCCAAAGTACATTTGCATGCATTTGACTTCCACCTGGGAGTCCTTTTTTTGAGCCAGCATATATAAACACCCCGTTCTTCTGTGTTCTCTGTAAAGTATTTAGGGAAACAAGGCACCCCCTCATCTCCTGCAAATATTGGCCAGTGAGAGCTGTAATTGTAGACTTCTCTGTCTGGCTTCAAGCAGTTGCTAGATATCTTGCTCAGAGTTGCAAAGCTTAGATTTTATTAGGAAGGGGGTCACTAACTTTTTTTTGTTCTTGTTAGCAGACTCCAACTACTGCCTTTATGAGAGAAGAAACCTTTCGCCCTGGTTCCCTATTCAAGCAGCTTGCAGCAGAGGAAGAAGACACAGCAACACCATCTTTGTTTAAACTTGGCTGGCTTTCAAGCATGACTAAATGATGAGCCAATAAAATATGAACTCTTGTATTCCTGGCATTGTATGAGCTTTCACAGCTGACATTTCATTACCCTTCAATGTCTAGTAGTTACTACCAAATGTAATTATATGTGATCAGTTCTTTAGGCAGCTTCAACTGACTAATAGAAAGTGCAGATTTTAAACACCCAATTCATTGAAGTATTGAGCACAGCAAAAAAACAGCACACATTGTTTACACTCCTGTTCTGACTTTAATAATAAAAATCCTTCTCCCTCTATAGATTCTTCTTAACACTGTTTCTAAATAGCCATAATGTACATGAGCCTCTGGAAAGATTAAATTACCATAAAAACATATTCACTATTTATTGAAATTAAAAAAAGACTTATAAAACTGAACACAAAATGTTTGAAGGATTTTTACATAAAGCATTAATTACTATTGAACAGATTAACTTTTCAGACTGGACTTATTATGCACTCCTGTAATACAGGGGTGGATTCTTAAAACCATCATGACACGTCAAAGATCTCCACCCCGCTGCCCCACAACAAAAGAATCCTATAAAAATTGCTCCAAAGCCCCTTTTGCATTGCAATAGTGCAGCAAATCACACGTAAACAACTGCCTGCTCACCTGTTATTCCAAATGCAGACTAAAAAGGCAACAGGCATTTTGTGCAATTTTAACAAACTTTTAAGTTGAAATCTCTCCTCACTCCATGCCGCATCGTCCCCCTTCACAGAAGGCAGGGAACTGCTGGACTCATCATGTTGGAGGACGGCCCCGGCTCTGTAAGCTATGGAAGTGCGCCTCCTTCAGAATCTGGTTGATGTGGAAGTAAGGGCCTTGGCATAGTGCAGACTGCTCAAGAAAGGACTGAGGAGGCGTCACAGGGCTTGATCCAGGCATGATCTGGGGAGGGCTGGTTTCTGGCCCGCTGCCTCGATCAGGACTGCTTATGCTGCTACTGCAGCAACTGCTAGTGCTGCCACTCTCACTGCTTGAAGACTGGAAGAGATGGACAGGACACAAAGCATATTAGCATTTAATCCAACATTTAAGAGAACAGACTATTCTTCAGCTGATATCAAATTTGAATATTCTATCTTCTAATGAACTGTTACTGGTTCTATCAACACCAGTATTTGATTGAGTGCACTTTTTCAAAGACCTAAAAGCCATGGGTGTATACTGTATATACACATATTAAGTTGAGAGCAGGCTCAAGAACCAACACTAGATTTTTATATGATGTGGAAAAGTTGAGGGTTATTTCACAGAGAGGGAAAACACCAATGCTACCCCAGGAGAGTCAGAAGCGACCACAATAAAGTACAGGGGTTGATGCTTCTTTTAGGTTCTCCTGGGACCAAGTAAGCTCTTGCTTTTCACTACTCTTATCAAAGAAGGAGATGGCTACCTTTTAGTAAGAGTGAAGGTACAATAATTTACACTGACCTATGGACAAATCAACCCATTTCGGGGGTTGATTATTTTACTAAAATATCTAAAGTTACATATGAATATACAGGTACTCACAACCTCAGTCCAATGCTCAAACCACTACATCATACTAATGCTCCAATGTTACTAGATAGCCTACTATTAGGGAAATTCCACTGAGTTCAATGAAGCTTAACTTAGATAAATTGATGTAGGATTACATCCTCTGTATGCTTGACTACAGTTGATGCCTAAACTGACAGATTTCAGAGTTGAATTCAGGTAGTTCATATATTGAATTAACTAAACACAAAACAAATGTCAACAGATGTGTCAACATATGTTAGATATATAGTAGAGGTAGAAAATCTCTACTGCATATCACATTTCATGCCTGAAGTATGGACATACAACTGACAAAAGGGCTGCCTCATCTTACTCCCTTTCCCTTGCCTTGAAGGATCTAAATGGACACTTCTGCTTGGTAGGCAATGGCAAGAGCTCATGTCAGGAAGGGTTAGTGTGAGTATAAAAATGCTGTCTGAAAGAATCTAGTTCTATAAAGACACCATGTTATTTCCCTTCCTCAGATTATCATGGAGTATGAATATATAATAAGATTTCTGTAAATTGCCAGACAAAGCTTCTGACGACATTAGATTTAGTCATCACTGCTTTTAGTCTAAAATCTTTCATGTTTTGTGGCTATTATAACAAAAATAATCCAATATAAGAAGTAGTTTGCCTTTTGGATTGCAACTCGCAGCATTCTTTATCATTGGCTCGTAAGAGGGACAGTTTGTTTGGAAAGCTACAAACTGTTCATCCCTGTCCATACAGGAAAAATGTCTGCTGCTGTTCATACAACAGATATAACAATATTTTTTAAAGAAACAATCACTGATAAAAAATAGGTCCATAATTTCTAAGCACCTGCAGCACACAAAGTGGGGCCTAAACACCTTAAAGACACCAGATCCTGTCTGATTATGGAAGCTAAGTAGGGTCAGCCCTAGTTAAAACTTGAATGGGAGACTGTCAACAAACACCAGGTGTTATATTTCAGAGGGAGGAACTAGAACCAGAGTGGAGAGAGGGGGCCAGGGGAAAGTTCCACCTTGTCTCCTGTGCTATTCTAATAATATAATATATTGTATATACATATAATATTTATAATATTATAATGTAATGCAATATAATAATAATAATAATAATAATAATAATAATAATAGGATATTATAATTATATATTTATATTACATGTAATATTACTGATAATATTACGATAAAATGGTATGGTACAATATAGCAATGTTTAATGCTGATATTATACTATGCTGATAATATAATATATTGTATGTAATATATATCTTGTAAGCCACTCTGAGTCCCCTTCAGGGTGAGAAAGGCGGCATATAAATGTCGTAAATAAATATATAAATAAATAGTAAAACCAACTCCCATGTATTCCTCGGCTATGAAATCCCAATAAAATTCTGGGGGTTATCACAAGTTGACATGTGTTTTGCACATATACACAGAGCAAACAATACATGATTTTGGATGTGACAGATTGATTATTTAACACCAATGTATTTATTTTCACTCTAACACGGTAGAATTGAGTGTGAGCAACTCAGGAAAGCATGTCATTACTTTCCTTCTCTTTGAACCTTCATACAAGAGACAACAGTAAGTAATGGATAAGATTTTCAACCTGATTGTTACCAACAACATAATTTTGCTGTTAAATAAATGGCCAAATATCTCCCCTTTGCCAACTTATTGGAGCTACAAAACAGAATACAGATAGTCTAAATAAATCTATAATTGCCATCCAAATATTTTATTTAAATATCTCAGATTTATTCATCAGCTTGCAAGGTGAGGACAGTGTCACCCTTCAGTATTCAAATCAAGACTGATCACTTTTTCAAAATGCTTCATGGAGGGAATTTTAATTTAAAAAGAAAAGAATTACACTGGTAGAATGAAATATTAGCATTAATTTTCCCTCCTCCATAATTCTATCAGATTTTTCACTTACATGGTCCCTTTACTAAGTAGGGACCATGTAAGTAAAGGAAAATCTGGTCAGGAGCAGTTTTGAAACCATCTTACCTCTGTGTCCCATGAATCCTGAAAAACAGCATTTCGGCTGCTGCGTTTTGTTTGTGGTATCAGCCCATCCTCTTCGATGCCATTTCGTCTTCTCTTTCTGCAACAAGTAATGGAATATTAGAAAGTTAGCTTAGTCAGTCTACTAGATATACAAATAAAAGTTTAAAACTTATATGTTTTTTAAATTATCAGAAACTTAACTGTTTTGGAACAATTATATTTTTCTTCAGTTGTCCATTGTTAATATACAACTAGATATGAAGCCAAAGATAAAATGTACCAAAAATGCAGCTTAGGCTACTAATTTAAAGGGATCTCGTTACCCTGCTTTTCTTCCAATATTGTATGGAAGAATGGACGGAGATTCTTTTATGGAATAATCACCTCTTCAATTTAGCGCATGAACCTGTTCTGCCTGAGGACTGAAATGCAATATTAAAGCAAACTCCAAGCTACAAGTATACCTAAAAACACAACTGACTACTTCAAATTGTATCTTTATTTTTTTATTTAAAATTTTATCTTGTTTTGTTTAGATTCCTGTTTTACCTTCCTAAGTCTTAGCCGTGAAATTGTACATTTATTATGTTTATTGTTTAATTTTTGATTGTGTGTTATTATTTTTGATTTAGGGGGTTGGTAATTTTTGTCTTTCTTCAGCTTCTTATGGCATTGAACGTTTGCCGATATCTGTTGTAAACCACCCTGAGTCCCCTCGGGGAGATAGGGCGAGATAAAAATAAAGTTTTATTATTATCTGGCTATATTAAATGAAAAGCTATTTCTATAAAAGATACTTATTTTTATAAAATACCTATTAAAATGCACAGCTGTTTAATACCACTTTAACCCATCCCAGGGAATAGTTGATTTTATAGCTGTGTGAGATATCACTGCTGTAGAGAAAATGACTAGACTAGGATACTTGTACACTTTCGAAATAACACTGCTTGACATCACTTTAACTGGCTTAATGCTATGAAATCATGGGATGGGATGTTTAGTGAGGTACACATACATGTTTGGCAGAGAAAGTGAAGGACCTTGCAAAAGTAGTCCAACGGGCGGCAGCCAGATTGCTCACTGGAACTGTGTACTGGGAGCATACAACTTCCCTGCTGCATCAGCTCAACTGGCTGCCAATTTGCTACTATTTATTTTTTGTGTCAGGAGCAACCAGACAGTTGTATTACATTTTTAACAAAACAAACAACAAACAAACAGACAAAACACAAAGTTTGCAAGCTTGGTAGTTGATTAAATGTCCTTTGACCAGTATCTGGCCACTTGGAGTGCCTCTGGTGTTGCCGCAAGGAGGTCCTCCATTGTGCATGTAGCAGGGCTCAGGTTGCATTGCAGCAGGTGGTCAGTGGTTTGCTCTTCTCCACACGCGCATGTTGTGGATTCCACTTTGTAGCTCCATTTCTTAAGGTTGGCTCTGAATCTAATGATGCCAGAGCGCAGTCTGTTCAGCGCCTTCCAAGTTGCCCAGTTTTCTGTGTGCCCAGGGGGGAGTCTCTCATTTGGTATCAGCCATTGGGTGAGGTTCTGGGTTTGAGCCTGCCACTTTTGGACTCTTGCTTGCTGAGGTGTTCCAGCGAGTGTCTCTGTAGATCTTAGAAAACTATTTCTTGATTTAAGTCATTGACGTGCTGGCTGACACCCAAACAAGGGATGAGCTGGAGATGTCATTGCCTTGGTCCTTTCACTATTGGCTGCTACTTCCTGGCGGATGTCAGGTGGTGCGATGCTGGCTAGACAGTGTCATTTCTCAAGTGGTGTAGGGCGCAGACACCACTGTTTTAGCGTGGTGAGATGTGTTCCACACTGGGCATGCATACTCAGCAGCAGAGTAGCATAGCGCAAGGGCAGATGTCTTCATTGTGTCTGGTTGTGATCCCCAGTGCTACTGTTGTACTACTGATCACAATTTAAAATGGTGGCTTTAGCCTATAAAGCCTAAACCAGTGGTTCTCAACCTGTGGGTCCCCAGATGTTTTGGCCTTCAATTCCCAAAAATCCTAACAGCTGGTAAACTGGCTGGGATTTCTGGGAGTTGTAGGTCAAAACACCTGGGGGCCCACAGGCCGAGAACCACTGCCTTAAACGGTTCTGGCCCTGCTTACCTGTCCAAACATATCACCCTCTATGAACCAGCCCGACGCCAAGATTTTCTGGGGAGGCCCTGCTCTCAGTCCTAACAGAGGCTGGATGGCCATCTATCAGGGGTACTTTGATTGTGCTTTTCCTGCATTGCAGGGGTTGGACTAGATGGCCCATGTGGTCCCTTCCAAATCGTATGAATCTATGTTTAATTCGGCATTGAATATTGCCAATTTGGAAGCTGCTCTGAGTTCTAAATATAGAAAACGACAACCCCCGGGATTCTATGGCGTTGAGCCATGGCAGTTGAAGCAGGGCCGGACGGCATTCATTCCACGGTGCAGGAGGCCCCACTTCCACGGCCACGGCTCAGTGAGAACGAACAGGACTGCTTTGCTAAATCAGAAAACCTAACGCTCTTCAGGTGTTTAAACCGTCGCGGATGATGGGAGCTGCAGGCCCGCCTATTGCTGTTCCTATCACTTCCCAACGGCCGTCCTGCCTTGGTTCCTGTGGGGAAATGATAGGAACAGCAAGAGAGCCGCCTTGCGCCCCCGCCCTCTCGGGACGACCATTTTTCCCCCGCCGGCCGCCGTCTCCCTCTCCCCTCCGGCCTCCCTTTCTGCGCCCGCCCCTTCTCTCACCTCTGCCGGGCTCCTCGCTCGCTCGGAAGCGCGCCTCGGCAACTCATGGCCGGACCGGGCCGCTGCTCTCCGGCCAAACCGCCGGGATGCGTCGCAGGCCGCGCTGTGACGAGCCCCAAACAATCCCCGTAGCTGCCTTCCTGTCCTCTCCGCCAGCCACCCTCGCCGCTTCCGGTCTGCGAGCCTCTTGCGCAAGCGCCTTGACAGCGGCAGAGAGGCCGCGCCACACCTCCCTCGGGCTCTTCCGCGCAGGCGCCTTGGCTGCCCCAACTGACGCCCTCTCCCCGGCGCGCAGGCGTTAACAGGCAGGAACTGCTGTGACGTCGCGCGCGCCTGCGCCGTCAGCGTCGCCCCTTTGCCTCGCGCATGCGCGGGAGACAAAGGGGAAGGAAAACATACCTAGTATGATAGAAGGGCATCGCTATGGGGGCCTGCCTGAGGGGCTGCCATGAATATGTGTGTTAGTGCTGCTGACTACAGTGGCGTTTGCTTGCAAGGGAAGCAGTTTGAGCCTTGGAAACAAAGGCTTTGCTGATGCCACTTTCTGAAACTGCGGGTCACACTCTCTCGTCCTCAGAGAGTGGCAACAGCGGAACCGCGCTGAACCGTGATAAGGTCGCCATACCTTAAGGCCCTTCCAGACAGGCCCTATACCTCGGGTTCGGACCCAGGTTTTCTACTCTAAACTGGAATATATATATTTATGTATTATATATTATATATTTAGTAAAGATAAAGGTTTCCCCTGACATTAAGTCCAGTTGTGTCCAACTCTGGGGGGTAGTGCTCATCTCCATTTCTAAGCTGAAGAGCCGGCGTTGTCTTTAGACACCTCCAAGGTCATGTGGCCGGCATGACTGCATGGAGCGCCGTTACCTTCCCGCTGGGGCGGTACCTATTGATCTACTCACATTTTGAATTGCTAGGTTGGCAGAAGCTGGGGCTGAAATTGGGAGCTCATGCCGCTCCCCGGATTTGAACCTGGAGCCTTTCAGTCAACAAGTTTAGCAGCTCAGTGGTTTAACCCACTGTGCCACCAAGGGCTCCCAATTATATATATTATACGAGTCCTCACTGGCACATAATCTGGGATAAACAGAAAAGTTGGAATCAGATCCTGGGATATAGGACCTGTCTGGAAGGGCCCTTAGAAAGCGTTCAAAGAGAGCAAAAACATAGTCAAGGGTTTACATAACCTTTGTCATCAGATTGTCCTTACTTGAACTGGCATGGCTCAGTGCTGTGGAGTAGTGGAACTTGTGGTTTGATGGGACACTTTTTTGACAGAGAAGGCTAAAGATCTTGTAAAATTGCAGTTCCCAGGACTGTATAGCATTGAGCCATGATGATTAAAGTGGTTAGACGTTTCCTAGCTGAGGAAATGCCTTGCTTTGAACTTCTTTTGAAATAACAATGTACATTTTACCAACAGAGGAAGTGACTGTTCATAAAGCATTTATCAAGGTGTTGTTCCAAACTGCAAAGTCAGCCTCTATCTATCTGAACAAACAGGATGCAGATAATTAGAGGGTTATTCCTGGAAGTCAGGGTATCGGGAGTGTATCAGTTAAAGCTAGTGTGCCAACTGCGCCCATTCCTGGAAAAGTCAGACTTGGATATGGGGAAGATGTGGCTGGAATAATAACAACAACAACAATAATCATTTATAGGCCACCCTATTTCCACGAGGAGACTCAGGTCGGCTTCCAATTATGTGTTTTGAAATGCATTTTAACTGTATTTATTACACTATGTAATGCTGGTTTTGTTCCTAGGCTATAAATGTCATTTCCTAATTGGTTCTATCATACAAATATGGAAAATATTTATTAAACTGTAAAATCTTTGTTTTTGTGAGACGTCCTGCATCACCATTTTGCTGTAGTTTTTCAATGAATATCTCATCCAGTCTCTACCAATTCAACATAGTTTGTGGCTGCCGGAAAAATGAAGTTTCTGGAGTAAAACAACTACAGTCAAAGTAAGGACTGCACAATTGAACAGGAAATAACACTTTCAAACCAGGAACATAATTTTTTCAATTTTTTAGACATAGTGTTATTATTATTATTATTATTATTATTATTATTATTATTTGATATACAACAAGATTAGTACACAACAAACAAGATCACTATGTCGACTTCTGTTTTCGATCACACATCGGACACTTCCCAGTGTCTAAGACTGTGTGATGTATTGGTGAGTAATGCACCCAGATTTGAGAAGGGTGGCCTTTTGCAGTGGAAAGATGGTGATTTTGTCAGCACCAATTGTTTTTAAGTGCAAGCCAAGATCTTTAGGCACTGCACCCAGTGTGCCAATTACCACTGGGACTACCATTACTTTCTTGTGGCAGTAAATAATAATAATAATAATAATAATAATAATAATAATAATAATAATGTATTGTCAAAAGCTTTCATAGCTGGAATCACTGGGTTGCTGTAAGTATTTTGGACTGTATGACCATGTTCCAGAAATAATTTTATAAGATCTACAGAGACACTTACTGGAACACCTCAGCAAGCGAGAGTCCAAAAGTGGCAGGCTCAAATCCAGAACCTCAATCAATGGCTGATACCAAATGAGAAACTCCCTCCTGGGCACACAGAAAACTGGGCAACTTGGAAGGCGCTGAACAGACTGCGCTTTGGCACCACGAGATACAGAGCCAACCTTAAGAAATGGGGCTACAAAGTGGAATCCACGACATGTGAGTGCGGAGAAGAGCAAACCACAGACCACCTGCTGCTATGCAACCTGAGCCCTGCTACATGCACAATGGAGGACCTCCTTGCAGCAACACCAGAGGCACTCCAAGTGGCCAGCTACTGGTCAAAGGACATTTAATCAACTAGCAAGCTTGCAAACTTTGTGTTCTTTTTGTTTGTTTGTTAAAAAATGCAATGTAACTGTTTGGTCTGCTCCTGACATGATAAATAAATAAACCATGTTCCAGAAGCATTCTCTCCTGACGTTTTGCCTGCATCTGTGGCAGGCATCCTCAGAGGTTGTGAGGTCTCACAATCTCTGAGGATGCCTGCCATAGATGCAGGTGAAACATCAGAAGAGAATGCTTCTAGAACATGGCCATACAGCCCAAAAAACTTACAACCCAATGGTGATGATAATGAATATTATTATCCCCTCCTCATAACAGCTGGCAATTGAAAAGAGTATGTGATACTGGGCTGCCATAGAATCATAGAGTTGGAAGAGATCTCGTGGACCATCCAGTCCAACCCCCTGCCAAGAAGCAGGAAAATCGCATTCAAAGCACCCCCGACAGATGGCCATCCAGCCTCTGTTTAAAAGCCTCCAAAGGAGCCATGGATTGCTTCACTTTGGGAGCATCTGCACTGTAGAATAAATGCACTTTGATATCGCTTTAATGCCATGGAATCGTGGATGTTGTTTTACAAGGCCCTCGGCCTTCTCTGCCAAAGAGTGCTGGGGCCTCACCAAAGGACAAGCCCCGCCACCCCATAGCATTGAGCCAGGTCAGTCCAAGTGGGAGTCCAAGGGGTTGCCCAGTGGAGAAAGCGCCTATGGAGATCCCACTGAGAAAAGAGTGTCACCTGCTGCTTGTAATGCTTTCCATGTCTCTGCGGGGATTCCTGGGCCGGTCATGTGACAAGAGGCCACGCCCCCTCGCGGCCAGAGCTTGCTTTCGCCCTGCTTTCTCTTTCAATTCCCGAGAGCCGGAAAGTTCATTGGGAAGGGATTCCTGCAGCTGAACAGATCAAGGTAGGGGACGGTAAAGGAGGGAAGAAAAGGGATGGAGGCTTTCTTCAGGAATCAAACAGGCTGCACCACCCACCTGAGAATGCTGTTGCTGGGTATACTGTTCCTTTTGCTGCAAATAAACTGCTTCATTGTTGCTCTGTGCCTTCAAGTCATCTATTATTATTATTATTATTATTATTATTATTATTATTATTATTATTATTATTATTATCTGTCTCTCCTCGTGACTTCAGACCTATGCTGGCCCCATTGCTTATGGTGGCCCTATTGGGGGCAAGACTTGTTTAGAGGGGGTTTGCCATTGCCTTCTTCTGAGGCTGTGAGAGTGTGACTTGCCCAAGGACACCCAATGGGTTTCCGCAGCTGAGCAGGATGCAGGCCTTGGTTTTCAGAGTCATAGTCCAATGCTCAAGCCACTGGGCAACATTGCTACTTGCCTGTAAATACACAGGGAAGGAAGCTTTGTGCATAGAAGAACTTTCAGGGTGTAAAAACACAAATGTTTTCTTGCCATCATGTTGTTGAAAAATCTGGGATATAGTTATGGAGAAATGAGAGCATGGTCCACTAAAGAAGAAGTCTCCCCATCCCAAATGAAGTGTCCTTTCCGTTTCCAAATTTCTAGCATTATAGTAGCTTTCCTTAAGTATTTAAAAATAACAGTTTGGGCAGGCAAAAGTTGGGGGGCAGGAAAAGAAATGAAGAGAATATAAACAAAAAATAGAAAGGTGTAAGCACACAACCCCCTTGTTGCGCTAGCTCCATTGACTGCAGGTTTGATATCAAGTACAATTCAAAGTGCTGGCCTTAGCCTATAAAGCCCTAAACAATTCTGGCCCAGCTTCTCTGTCTGAATGTATCTCCCTCTATGATCCACCTCAGAGGTTAAGATTATCTGGGGAGGCTCTGCTCTCGGTCCCACCACCCTCACAGGACCTTCTCAGTGGTGGCTCCTTGGCTGTGGAACTCCCTCCCTAGTGGAATTAGATCGGCCCCTACCCTCCTGTCATTTCGCAAACAAGTGAAAACTTGGCTTTGGGAGCAAGCATTTGGCCCAGCATAATTATCCATGCAACACTGTTGGAATTAATTTTGGATTGATCGATACGATTATCTGATTATCTGGGCTTGGATATATACACAGTAGTCATCTAATGTTTACATATGTTATTTTCATGTTTTAAATTGATGTTTAATTGCTTTTAATTATTGTGGTTCGGGCACAGAATAATGCCACTAATGTAGGCCACCCAGAGTCCCCTTCAGGGTGAGAAGGGCAAGATATAAATGTTGTAAAAAAATAAATAAGCATCTCACAGTCAGCAATGCTAGGAATTAGGATGAACAAAAAATTCATTTGGGGACTAAAATCTTTATGGGGGAAATGCCCCCATTTCACTCACATCCACCTACCCACCGCTACATAACCTGCCTGCCACCATCAGTCCTAGAAAAGGTGTAATTCAATGTTTTTTTTCTTATAGTCACATGGATCGAAAGGTTGTATTTAAACAATGTATTTGGTGACTTGTAGTCCTAGTACATACTACATACCTCATTGAGCCTCAACCAATTCAACAAAGTTTCTGGAGTTTAACAATTACTTCCAAATTAATTTTTATTATTATTTATTTAGCAATTTTGTATACCGGTCTTCTCCCCTCTATCGGGGGACTCGGGCCAGTTTCCAACAATAATATCACAAAACAATCATTAAAAACATCATATGACATATTCAATTAAAACGTTAAAACAGCAAAATGCAATCACATAATAACAATGGTCAGTCGTCATAGTGAATTCGTTGTTCGTCATTTGTCGTCATCCATCCGATCACAGAATATTGATTCACTCGTCGAAAGCCAAACTCCATAGCCAGGTTTTCACCCGTTTTCTGAATGACAGAATGGAGGGGGCAGTTCTGATCTCCAGTGGGAGAGAGTTCCAGAGTCGAGGGGCCACCACYGAGAAGGCCCTGTCCCTCGTCCCCACCAGATGCGCTTGTGAGGCTGGTGGGACCGAGAGCAGGGCCCCTCCAGACGATCTTAGCAACCKAGATGGTTCATAGGGGAGAATACGTTCGGACAGGTRGACTGGGCCGGAGTCATTTAGGGCTTTATAGGTTAACACCAGCACTTTGAATTGTGCTCGGAAGCTAATTGGCAGCCACTGGAGCTGGCGCAATAGAGGAGTAGTATGCTCCCTGTACCCTGGTCGTGTTAGCATTCTGGCTGCTGCACGTTGGACTAGTTGGAGCTTCCGGGCAGTCTTCATAGGCGACCCCATGTAGAGAGTGTTGCAGTAATCTAAACGGGATGTAACCAAAGTGTGGACCACCATGGCCAAGTCAGACTTCCCAAAGTACCACACAATTAAATAGGAAATAACATTTTCAAACTAGGAACATGTTTTTTTTCCAAATTTTGTTGCATAGTGTTATTTTCAGTTGAGACTGTTTCTGAAACTTGTTTTAAATCACTCAAGCTGCATGAGTCTGTGTTCAACAGAATGAGATGACTTAAAGGTACCAAAAGCAAGATGAGACGGTATTGTGTCAACTCTTGATGCTCTTCTCTGCACATAGAAAGTCTTCTAGTTTATAATATGATGTACATATTCGGTTTTATCATGGTTATTTACTGTATTATTATAAATCTCTTATTTAACTTACTACATAGAGTTTTATTAAATTGTACCAAGCTTTGTTGTTTAGTTTGGTGATATGACCTAAGGGGCAATCAATCAGATTTAGTGTTGTTATTATTAGTTTATAATGCCTTATTTCCTTTTTCACATAGAAAAAATGGCCAGCAGTCCTCCAGGAACAGAAATCTGCCCTTTCTGCAGAAAACCATTCAAACGGCTCAAGTCCCACTTGCCTCACTGCAAAATGGCAGGGGGGCCAGACTCAAGGGATGGGAAGGTCTGTACTTCTGTCATACCTGAATCACTGTCAACTGAGAAGAAAGGGAAGATTGAAAGCATGGAAACTGCCTCCAAAAATAAAAAGAAGAAGAACAGCAAAATTGACCAGACAAGGAACAAAACCACAAAATCCTTAGACTTGAAAATAGCTGGGACAGCATCAAGCAGCAGTCCTGATACACAAACACAGATGAAGCCTCTTACTAAAGAGACGAACAAAACCAAAGGCAGTGGACAAAGCACCTCTGAAGAGTTCTGTGCAGAGCCAGCTGAGAAAGTGGTTTCAGAAATGACACTTGCAAAGCACTCACCCACAAAAAAGAAAAGCAGAAGTGAAATAGCATTTGAGGGAAATGAGTTTGTGCCTGGCCTTGCATTAGAACCACCAACCCAGAATAGAAATCCCACATCTGATCCTCCTAGCCAAACAGCAAAACTTTTGGTCAAGCATACACATGGTGAGGAGGGCTTTGGAAAACAGAATGAACCTGGTTCTCCTGACTCTTCCATTGAAAATCTTCAACACTTTTATCAGGGAATTACTGACAGGATAGAGCTGGTGATTGAAAACCACCAAGTGAGAGTGTTGAGGAATAGACCTACTGTTCAAAATAGCCCACTGAGTGGCAATGCTGCCACCAAGCACAAGACAAGTCAGTGGCCTGTGAAACCATCCCTTGAAGGTGAAAAGACTAACTCAGCTAATGGGCAGCAGGTTGTTACAGTTACACAGAGTGGGACACAAAGGAGTGCTTTAGGGCTTGAGCTTGCCGAAGATGTTGGGCATGGACAGATGGGAGAGGGCATCACTGCAGTTGAAGCGCACATAGTGCCCAATATGTTGCCTGGGGACAACAGCAGAAAGATCTCTGGCAATCCTCTTCAGCTGGCAACAGGAGTAAAAATGGCAATAGACAAAGATCCTTTATTTTTGAAAAGAAAAAGCTATCCTGTAGGGTCACATGTTTATACTGATCCCAAGTCAGAGACCTGTGATGCATTTGCAGAAGCACTTGGAGAAATAGATGATAAAACATACTTGACAAGCCTGGAAAAAGGCTCTGCTTTACCTTCAGGGACTCCTGTTACCCCAGGATACAATACCTCAGAAATACCTTTGAGACCACCATCACTCCACTTGTCGGAAAGGACTGTTGCCTGTGGGATTCCGCTCCTGGATAGATGTGTGGAGCCAAGATCTTTAGGACTGGAGTTTTTCCCTGAACTGTATCCTAACTATCTCAGCCTGCGCTTGTTTTCCCAGAAACCTCAGTGGAATGTAAGAATCCCAGGACATCAAGTTCTTATTCTCCCTTCTGAAGGCAAACATGGTAAAAGGGAACCCTTTTCTTTGCTGGTTTCTAAGAGGGACATTACATTGACTATTGTGCTGAAATCGTGTGCTTGTTTCTTAGAATCTGTTTCTGGTGTAATTTGTTTGATTTTTAGATATAGGAGGGCAGGCCTATGATTCGGAGAGGAACAATGTATTCCTGTCCACATAGGATACCATGCAGTGATTCCAGCAGCACAAAGTACATAAATGGTTGCTGAGGGTTGAGGAAATTGGTGCAGCATATGAGTCTTACAAACTGGGTGGAAGGGTGGAAAAGTATGTGCTAGTCATAGAAACCTGTCTTGCTGTTGTGTTCCCTAGTTCCTCTGGCAGAAAGGTGTTTGATGGATGTAAAGCTCCACGATTTGCCTGCTTGGCTAGCCACGCGTGACCTGTCTCCGCAGGGGATGCTCGGAGTAACATGCAGAGGTGAGGGAAAATCAGTTACCGTGTCTTTCAGTCCCACCTCGAGATGGGTGGGCAGGGGTTGATGCAGCAGCTTTCACGCCAACATGGAGGTCAGGGTTGGCTGGGCAAGTCTTTTAATGTACATCGATAAAAGAGGGGGGAAATCTACGAGGATTCTACTGACATGAATCATCAAATAGCTCCTGTGTTTTTTGTTTCCTAAACAGCCTGGAATAGATACTACAACAAGTACATTAATGTGAAAAAGGGCGGAGTGGCTGGGATCGCTATGCTGCTGTTTGGCTACTGCATCCTCAGTTACACATGGACCTATGAACACAATAGTAAGGGTTCTTTTCCTGGTGTTTCATTGACTTTCTTCACAATATTTCCTCAGTGATAGCCAATATGGGCACTCTTTATCATATAAGATGGGTTTTTTTCCTAGTACTTAGTGCATAGAGGTTTTGCTGTTTGGGCATATCCACATGCAAAGTATTTGAGGAATAAATTCTAGTTTTATTCTCATTTTGACAGAAAACAGGGTCAGAAACAGGGCCACAGTGGCGCAACGGGTTAAACAGCTGAACTGTTGAATCTGTTGACCTAAAGGTTGGCAGTTCAAAGCCATGGGTAGGAATGAGCTCCCGCTGTTAGTCCTAGATCCTGCCAACCTAGCAGTTCAAAAAAATGCAAAAGTGAGTCAATCAATAGGTATTGCTTCGGCAGGAAGGTAATAAAGGTGGCCATGCAGCCATGCCAGCAAACACGACCAGGAGGTGTCTATGGACAACAGGCTCCCTGGCTTAGAAATGGAGCGAGAGCACCTCCCCATGGCCAGAGTTTAGCACCGTGACCAGAAAGCCAGAGATTAAAGGGGAAGCCTTTACCTTTGTTCTGTGTATTTGTATGTCATTGTTATTTCCACTGTATTAAAGGCATTGAATATTTGCCTATCTGTGTATGTTGTAATCCTCTCTGAGTCCCCTCAGGGAGACAGAGCGGAATATAAATAAAGTGTTGTTGTTAGTATTATTATTACTATCCAGACTGAAAGGAGTTATTTTCGGTTCATGCCCATTAAACAGAAAGCAACTGTCAGCAAGGCTAGTGGTGTTCCTGCTTAGTATTGTCCACTAAACTCTAGTCGTAACCAAATTTGGGTGGGGGACAGTTAGAAAATTATGGCTGCCGTACTTTATCTTCATGAGTAAAAGGCTCAAGCAGAGACTTCATGCTTTTATAGGATTGCAGGACATAAATGTAGAGCCCCAATAAATAAAAACAATAAATTAAAGGATTGCTGAAGTAACTAAAGCACAGTACCTATTATCAACCATAACTATATGGTACCCAAAGACATAGCATAAATTAGATATATATGCTACTATTTCTTGAAAGTTTTGGATGAATAATGTGTCGATTTTTCCCTCTTTTTCATAAAAGAACAAAGTCGTTGGCGGAAATACCATTGATTGGAGTCCAAGAGCGTTTCCTGGAAGGAGAACAACATGGAAACAGAGTGTGGACTTGTTCCAGTAGAAACACCACCACAAGGAAGAGTGCTGCAGGAGTCATGCATACACGAGTCTATGCTCACTTGTTTACTCTCCTTGACAAAAGGTTGCCAGTCATGGTATAAAGTGGTTCTGAACCTGTGGGTCCCAAAATGTTTTGGCCTTCAACTCCCAGAAATCCTAACAGCTGGTAAACTGGCTGGGATTTCTGGGAGTTATAGGCCAAAACATCTGGGGGCCCACAGGTTGAGAATCACTGAATGGACATATTATTGAAATGTCTAGGAACTTGAGGCCTGTTACCAAAAGCTAATGGATACAGCATCAACTTGATGAGAAGTAAATTTATTTCAAAACCAAACTCTCCCTTTATAGTTTTAAGAATTTTAAGTGCCTGCTCAAGTTGCTTAAAGGTATTTGGTGTTAGTCTTGTGGGAATACAGCATGTAGAATTATGCACACAGTTCTTTTGCAGTGATTGGCCCTTTCACACCCTTTTTTATGAAGATTGTATACAAGATATAGTGACTACAGTTCAGATATGCCCAGGCCTTCTCTGCCTGTAACTCTCAATATTTCCATGACAAATGAACTAGGCAAAGACTAATTTGTAAAAAAAAAAAAAAAAGGATATGAGACTGAGCATATACAACACATTTCAATGGTGGTTGTTATATTTATTTATTTATTTCTCCCAGAACTGAGGCTCAAATTGGCTTGCAGTTTTTTTAACAAAAACATACAAACAGGAATAGAATCATAGAGTTGGAAGAGACCTCATGGGCCATCCAGTTCAACTCCCTGCCAAGACTCATGAAAATCACATTCAAAGCACCCCCAAGGAACCATCATGTTTTCCTATCAGTGGAGGCAACATGTATCTTTCTTCAGTTTTGTTACTCAACCCAGTTTTTCAGAGCTTCCAAAGCAATTCACAAAACTTTAAGTCTGACTCTTTAAGTTCTGGCAGCCTTGTAAATCTCAGAGCAGAAGGCAATCCTGGTGATTTCAGGCTGACTTCTTCGCAAGGAAGAAAAAGGCAGAGCAGAACTTTAGTTAGATTGTACATGAACTCTAACATATTCCTTTAAAAAAGAGTGGGAGGCCAGAACTCTCTAAAACAGTGGCCATCAGTCAAGTCTTTCAAGTGTTTAAAGGTCAGACAATATAGTAGTTTCCTACTAATGGAACATAGCTCTGAATACCTATTCTTATCCTGCCATGGGTTGTTCTGACTTGTACCAAAGAGTTAGTAGCAATGGGAACATTTCTAGTAGAAACTCACAGTGGAACCCTTGGTATCTTCAAGGGTTTGAGTTAAAAACTTGTGGATATCAAAATCGGTGGATGATGAAATTCATTATGTAAAATTGTAAAATCAAGTTTTTCTTTTGGACTTTTTTTTTAGTGGAGTGGAATATTTTTAACTGGAGATTGTAATGTGTTTCTGTCATGCATTACAGTGACTTCAGCATCTTTTTTAGTAGAATGTCAGTGACTAAATGTAAAAAGTAGTTAGGTCTTACCTGATGCAAAGGATAACTCCACCCAACTGCATCAAGAAGCAACAGGAGTGACATCTGAACAGTTGAGCTATATTTGTCACTTCACTCAAAGGTAGAAATCTAGTTTTAGTAGTGTAAGAAAGGCCATGTGGCATATACAAACAGTTTCTGAGTTACAAACATCCAACTTACAAACACTCATAGTTAAGAACGTGGGTGAGACAGCAGGAAATGAGTGAAATCTGCCCCTCGGAAGGGAAATTCACTTCTGAAAGAATTTTTATGGGGAAAAGGTGTCTCCACTGAAGCTTTTATCACCCAGCCATAGTCAGGATCAATGTGAGTACTGTGCCTTCTCATCCACCCCCCCCCCCCCAAAAAAAAAGGAATGGTCTCTTTTTGTGAGTCAAGTGGCTGAAGATAAGAGCATAGTCTGGCTTACTATAAAAAGGGCACTGATCTCTGCTCTCTCCACTGTGGTGCTGCTTCTGACGTTTTTGAATCCTGGGGCAAGAAAATGGTATCAGTGGCCAGTGGTAGCAGGTTCCCTGGGTCAACACTGGCACATTTCCCACTGCAGAATGACCCTCGAACTATTTAGGGGTCATATCACAACCCATAATTTTGGCCCCAAAACCTGCTGTCAACTTGTATGTGAGGTCCACTTATATACGAGTGTGTACAATAATTCAATTTCTTGCAATGTAGTTATAAATATTTGGAAGTTAATAGATGAAGATCTTAATGTTAAATCCAACCTATGGATGTCTTCGTGACCCTGGATGCTGCATTACCCTTTCCACCCCTCATTCTTCTCTGAGGGGTGAATTTGCAAGCCTTTCGGAACATTGATTCTTCCTTTTAAAAAGTTGTCCCTGAAATCCTCAACCTCAGAAAGGACCAAAATTAAAAAGAGAACATCCAAACACTTGCGTTTTTAGCAATTTGTGTGGCAGCTAGAAAGTTTGTGTGCAGGGTTGGTCACCTGTTATGGAAATATATCCTAGCCTTAAAGATCACGAAGAAAACAACCTTCGCATGCTTTTCTCTTACTTCTACTACTTGTATGTTAGTCTGTTAATCATTATTACTTGAAATTCTACCCTTCATATCTGTACATCAACAAACTCCCTTCTCTAAATATATTACCCAAGTAGTTTCATTTGTATGCACCAGAAGGGGACTCATATGACCACATGGAACTTGGTAAGTTGCTTATTTTGGACCACAACTTGTTTCTTTCCTTGCCATTGGCTGTGTTTCATGTAGCGAACGAGACCTGTTGGTCTAATCATGTAGAAGGGCAAAAGTACCAAACCTTTGCTTTATGTTGACTTTTGGGAGCATTATACATTTTTTTAGTTAACGTGGTTTATGGTTAGCTGGTTAGGATTGTTTAGAATTGGTTTTTAGAGAGTTTGGTGGATCTTAGTCTATAGTGCCCCCAGTAAGAGCAGTAGGGATTGTCTTCTAGAAGGAGCTGTCCTATCCCCATACTTTTGGGCTTTCTCTCTTGCCTTTATGTAGATGCGGCCTCCCTGAAAGAAGAATGGCTTGGCTCTGTCTATGCCAACTGAAGCTATCGAATCATTTATGGAATTTTGAATTAAAAAACACTAAACTAGGATTGCTAGGCCAGGGCTATCAGAGACCCTGAGGTTTCATGGCCCTTGTAATGTCATAGAAAGTGGGCTCTGGAGATGCTAAAAGGGGTAACTACTGTTGATGACATTGTACACGATACGTTAACTGTCAACCACAATTGCAAAGCATATTCAGTTTAAATAAAACAAGAAAATGTCGAGCTGTTTCAAGACAAAACTCTTGCCTGAGGAAGAGAGTCCAGGATGTGAAATCCTGAACCAAAACATGTCAGGTAATTCTTACCTCTGTCAAGATGTGCAGCAATATATGCATTTCCACAGTTGTCTGGGCTGTGCAAATAAGGCAGGCAGCTGACACATTTATTTATTTATTTATTATATTTATTTGTTTATTTAATATCCTGCCCTTCTTGCCCCAAAGGGGATTCACTTCCACTGCAAAGTCTGAACATTGACTGGACTTTAGGCCTTGTCAGTAGTTACTACCAGTGCACTGTAGGTGGCGGTCAAGGGCCAATAGAAAAGATGGGAAGGTGGGTATGATTGTCATATAAAAGAACCGATTAAAATGCTTGGCTAAAGAGAAAGGTGTCCTGTCCGTTTTCCTTCTGACAGCAAAATTTGAATGTAGTTGTAGAACATTCTTGCTGCTAAGTGTTACAACCTTCTTTCCTGTAAGTGTTCTCATGATGGCCTTTTGAAACACTGTGAGCAAGACTTCAAAACGTGTGCTTTTGTTTGGCAGACCCCACAATCTCATCTTGACCAAACTCCATTAAACTATCCAGCTTTCTGACTCCTCCCTTCATGAGCTACTGCATGCATCCTATTTTCAGAATACACCCAGTAAAAGCAATCATAAATCCCTTTCAAGCTTTTGAGATGAATGGGCTCTGCAATGTTTAAATACTCCCAAGAGCCCAGATCCTGCCTGATCTTGGAAGCTACGCAGCACCAGCCCTGCTTAGCACTTGGTTGAGAGTCTGCTAACAAATACCAGGTGCTAAAGGTTATATTTCAGTACTTCTTGCTATGTAACTTTACTGTTATTTTGGACATCAGCAATGCCATGGCAGGACTTAGTTGTAGGAAGTGGCAGCCTATTGCTGGCCCATTTTTGAAAAGCCTCCAGGAAAGTAAATTGGCATGGTGGGCCTTGAGATTAGCTTTTGTGAACAGGGTGGATAAAAAAATGTTTTTTTTTTCAAATGTTTTTAAAACTCTACATAAAGAGGCATTTGAAAAAATAGGTTCCCAGAAATCATCATCCGCATATGGAATACCCCAAATTGCAGCTTTCCGAACAAACAGCAAGTGGCACTGTTGTGTGCTTTCAAGTTTCCAATGTATGGCTATCCTAAGGATTTCTTGGGAAGATTTGTACAAGGGGGATTGTCTTTGACGTCTTCATAGAATCATAGAGCTGGAAGAAACCTCAAAGGCCAGCCAGTCCAACCCCCTGCCAAGAAGCAGGAAAATCACATTCAAATCACCCCTGACAGATGGCCATCCAGCCTCTGTTTAAAAGCCTCCAAAGGAGGAGCTTCCACCACACTCCGGGGCAGAGTTCCACTGCTGAACAGCTCTCACAGTCAGGAAGTTCTTCCTAATGTTCTGGTGGAATCTTCTTTCCTGTAGTTTGAAGCTGATTGTTCTGCGTCCTAGTCTCCCGGGCAGCAGAAAACAAGCCAGCTCCCTCCTCCCTGTGACTTCCCCTCACATATTTATAGATGGCCATCATGTCTCCTTTCAGCATTCTCTTCTGCAGGCTAAACATGCCCAGCTTTTTAACCCACTCATCTGGCTTTTCTCAAGTCCCTCCAGAACTGCAAGCACTACCTCAAGCAAATTTTGACAATTTATTCACAGTCATTATTTCATCAATAGCTGATACAGTGGAAGCAACCAAGTTGGCCCACCCATAACTGGCAGGCAGAGCCTAAGGCATGGGAGGGATTTGAAGCCCCCCATGAAGGAGAGCAGAAAATTGATTTAATTAAGTCTATATAAAATATGGAATGAACTACTGAAATTATTGTGTGTTAGGGAACTACTTCCCATGATTCAGTAAAAAAAAAAATTACACACACACACACCCCACATTTTTTTTTTCTGGCTATGGTCCTGTCTGGCAGTGTGTACTCATATAATCCAGTTCAATGCAGATCATTTGGGATCAGATCCTGGGATATATGGCAGTATATATCCAGCCTCTGTATCCCCAAACTTAATTATAATAAAGCAGCAGAATGTAAAGAGGATAAAGAAGTGACCAGTTTTGGGTCCAGTAATTTCTAACTGACTTCTAAAAGTTAGGTAAAACAATTAGGGACCGCCTCACCCCCTACCAACCCCAGAGATTCCTCCGTTCTGAGGACCAAGATCTATTGGAAATTCCCAGTGTCAAGACCTTGCGTCTAACAGCAACTAGACGCAGAGCCTTTACAGCAGTGGCACCATCACTCTGGAATACTCTGCCACCTGAAGTCCGTGCCATGCGGGACTTATCAGCTTTCCGCAGGGCATGTAAGACACACATGTTTCAACAGGCCTTTGATTTTTGATATTTCTGTTTTTAAATTGATCTTAAATTGTGTTAGATTTTAGCCTGTTCTTGTAAGCCGCTCCGAGCCCCAGGGGAGTGGCGGCATATAAATTCGAATAATAAATAAAATAAATAAATAAATTACAATCTTCCTTCTTTGGAGGTAATTCAAATCAAGTGAGCCTGTATTACAAAAAAATCATATTTGTTTTGCAGAAAAATCGAACTGTCTGGTTGATTTTTATTTAGGTTTTTATTATTATTATTTTGCAGACGTAGTAACATTTCCCAAGGGAATGGTCCTTGCTTTGCTAGAGGTGAGAAAATGAAAACGCCAATGGCTACTTCAGTTACCACTCACCCCTCCATCTCAGCATCCCAGCTCTTTTTGTGAAATATAGGTTGATTATCCTATATTTGATTTTAGAATATCTGGATTTGCATAGATGTACATAATGAGATAACTTGGAGATGTGGTCATAGATATTTCATGTGCACCTTATGCACATAGTTTTATGGTAATTTTATACAGTATTTTATATAATTTTGTGCATGAAACCAAATTGTACATTGAAAGCAAAGCTAGCCGTGTGGACAATTTAAGATTTTAGAAATCCAGTAAGATGTTCAACCTGTACAGTATAATGAAATAATTGCAATTGTTCTTCAGTTGTCCAAAATTGTAGTTATGCGAAGGGCAGAACAAAATCAAATATTTTTGCAAACTATTCTGTAGTATTTGTTCTGTGTATTTATTCATAGGCATCAGATCATATATAACCATGTGTAAGACCCACTGCTCTGCAAAGAAAGTGTTCAAATGTATCTAGCCGCACACCCACTTCATTAAAATCAATGCAATTTAAAATACTTAATTATTTATTATTTATTTATTTACAGCATTTATATACTGCTTTTCTCACCCCTAGTGCCACTTTGGCTATGTAATAGATGCCATTAATCCCGAGAGAACAGTATTCCTCAAAGGTTCAAAATATTTTCTATTTATATTGAAACAGTCCTATTTACATACTTTCCCCCATTTTGTCCCACAGCAGACCTGTGAAACAGATCAGGCAAAGAGGATGGGAATGCACGCCTAGCTTAAGATCATTCAGCAAGTTTCCATGGCAGGCGGAGGGCGAACTTGAATCCATCTCCCAAATCTTCACATGAACCCCCAAGCCACTACATTGCATGTGCTCTCTCCTCTCGCTCTCTTGCGAAGAGACAGCATCAATTCCCTCTTCTTTCTACTATTGAGAGCTGAGTGCAGTCTTCTCATAGATTGCCTGCCCAGTGAGCTTTCTGCTCTGTCAAACTGCAGCAAGTGGATGCTGCCAAAATGGAAACGACAGGTGTCTAAGAAGATCGGGACTGCGGTGCTCCTCTCAGATGGATAGCACTTTCTCCACCGGCATTGCTCTTTGCTTTCTAGGAATAATGCATGCTCCACTTCTCCAGGTACTAGAAGGCTGAGTAAATGCTCAAGGGAAAAACGTTACCTTGGGATTTTGTAATTCTGAAGCCTTATTTAATGCCACATTTATTGGTCTCAGGTCCGCTATTCATTTTAAGGCTCCTAGGTACAGCTTGTGAGTACCAAAAGCTGGGCATAGTCCAGAACTGAGATTCCAGCAGTCCAGGTAAAGATTTTCCCTTGACATTAAGTCCAGTTGTGTCCGACTCTGGGGGTTGGTACTCATCTCAATTTCTAAGCTAAAGAGCTGGTATTGTCCATAGACTCCTCCAAGGTCATGTAGCCAGGATGACTGCACGGAGCACCGTTACCTTCCTGCAGAAGCAGTAGCTATTGATCTACTCATATTTGCATATTTTCAAACTGCTAAGTTGGCAGAAGCTGGGCTAACAGCAGTAGCTCACGCCGCTCCCCAGACTTGAACCTGCAAACGTTTGGTTAGCAAGTTCAGCAACTCAGCAGTTTAACCCACTGCTCCACCGAGGGCTCCAAATTTCAAATTCCAGCAGTCCAACTGGCACAGAATAATGGGATTCATATAGCATTGTGCAAGGGCAAACAAAAACTGCAACCAAACAGGCATTGTTAAGATTGCTGTCCTCGGCATTCCATATGATTGGATATGCTAGTTAGTATTGATGGGCTTTGCAATCCAACATCTGGAAAATTCTATGATTTCCAAACCAGTATTGTGTAGCCATGTTCATTACATATCAGTCAAGAGGGTTGCAGGGAGGGACTTTTGTTGAAATGTTTTTGTATATGATTTATATACAAAATGGTTTAACTTTTATTACATTGTACAAAAAATAAATTTAAAATAACACAAGCTACTTTATCACAAATGCAGGTGGAAGCCAAGGCCTTCAACTTGAAATGATATGAATTTGTCCTCCCTGAAATCTTCCACCTAATGAAGCACTTCACAATTCTATACAAAAAAGGAGGCCTGCTGGAATATCAAGATTTACACATGCTTAGCATTGCACAAGGGCAGACAAAACCTGAACCCTGTCTCTTAGGTGATTTGCACTCATGGATTTTTTTCTGCTAGTTTAGTGTGAACTGGTGGAGCTTAAAATGAGTTGTGAAAACCACATTTTATATTGCACATTTTATCAAGCAAAGTTCCCACCATTCTTTGAACTTATATATGTGCTTGTGCACATGGCCCTACATTAAGGCACATTCTGTCCTTTGTTCTTCATTCGTTAAATCTCTTCTGACTCTTCGTGACCTCATGGACCAGCCCATGCCAGAGCTCCCTGTTGGCTGTCACCACCCCCAGCTCCAAGGTCAAGCCAGTCACTACAAGAATGCCATCCATCCATCTTGCCCTTGGTCGGCCCCTCTTCCTTTTTCCTTCCATTTCCTCCTGCATAATTGTGTTCTCTAAGCTTTCCTGTCTTCTCATTATGTTGCCAAAGTACTTCATCTTTGCCTCTACTATCCTTCCCTACAGTGAGCAGTCAGGCTTTATTTCCTGAAGTATGGACTGGTTGGATCTCCTTGTAGTCCAAGGCACTCTCAGAACTTTCCTCCAACACCACAGTTCAAAAGCATCTATCTTCCTTCACTCAGCCTTCCCTATGGTCCAGCTCTCACATCCATAGGTGACTATGGGGAATACCATTGCTTTAATTATGCAGATCTTTGTTGCCAGTGTGATGTCTTTACTATTCACTATTTTATTGAGATTGGTCATTGCTCTCCTCCTAAGAAGTGTCTGATTTCCTGGCTGCAATCTGCATCCGCAGTAATCTTTGCACCTAGAAATACAAAGTCTGTTTCTGCCTCCACATTTTCTCCCTCTATTTCCCAGTTATCGATCATTCTTGTTGCCATAATCTTGGTTTTTTTGCTTAGCTGCAACCCAGCTTTTGCGCTTTCTTCTTTCACCTTGATTAGAAGGCTTCTCAGCTCCTTGCTTTCGGCCATCAAAGTGGTATAATCTGCGTAGTTTGTTCTAGCTCTAAGAATTTATGCTGATGACTTGAAAAAGTCCCATATCTCAAAAATAATCACAGATGTAACATTTTGCAAATCTAGAGCACAGTTCACACAGTATCAACATCCAGAAGCACCTCTATTGGTTCCCAGTGGACTGGCTGAAGAGATTAAAAATACAAGAAAGGCCCAGTTGTACTAATTTATACTAAATGGGAGCATCATCCATTTTCCTTTGGCTCTGTCATGCACATCAAGCCATATGTGTGTTGGGGTGCACGTGTACACTTTCATATGATCTCAGAGCTACAGTTCCAGTCCTGCCTGCCGTCCAGAGCCTTTTCCCTTCTGTGAAAAGACCATAACACAAAGGAAACGTTCCCCTTCATCTGGCCACATGGCTGCACCGCACTGCATTGGCTACTTAGGAAACAGAAGACCAACCTGCCATTCAGCTGAGCATAATGGCCTCCCTCGGCCAGCTGCCGCTGTTGTTGTTTCTTCCACAGAACAATGGATCAGTGTCCCAGGCTTGCACGTCTATTGTATTGAATGGTAGCTCTCACATAGATCTTACATTGTCTGCCTCTGCCTTTGCTTGCAGAAGAAGAGTGGACATAGAGCCTTGATACTCTTTAGTGTGCCTTCACTTCTCATTACTGGCTTGCATTAGAACTGTTTGTAGTAAGTCCTGAGTATAGTATCTTACTATAGTATCTACAATCAACAGTTTAGATGGTAGGAAGTAATGAAACAGAGAAACATGGCATCGCAGTACACCTGAAACAAGTTTGCACTTACTAGATTCAGCTGCTAAATACCAGCTCCCATTATTCTTGGTGTGACAGATCGGCTGATACAGCACGTGGGAGAGGGACTCGGGGATCAGATAAGCACAGTTCAAGAGGACAGAAAGTTATGAAACCACCAGCAGCAAAGGTCCCCTGCCCTCCGTGTGTGTGTGCCTGCGGCATTGCTGAATAGCGTCTTTATGAAACAAGGGAGTCTCTATGACACAAATGGGGGCTTTGTGGGTGAGGCAGATAAGGTCAGAAATGGAGCTGTAACTAGGCGCATGTGGCTGGGAAGCACATTCTACAGATCAGTGTTGTGACAGAGACATAGCTTGCAAGGTGGCTAAAGGTTTAGCAATAAAAGGAAGTACACAGATTGTTGCAAAGGGATGGAGGTAACCTAAGAGGACTGGGCTTTTCAGCTCTTCCACATAGTTAACTGATTAGATGTACCTTGCAAACTTACATCTTGGGCAGTGCAAAAGCAGGACAGCTTCTACGCAGGGGAGTTATTGTGGTTTCTCTGAAATATAAGCTGTCGTCCTAATATTTCTTTTGAAGCATTACTTGGTTATGCCAGGCTTGCACAATTTTTGACCTACTATGCTGAATAATAGCCCACAGCAATTCACCAAGAACTTACTAAATCTCCTTTGAACTGAAAACATGTGTGTTAAAGTAGCTCACTGCCAGCCCACAAAGGCAAAACTTGCATTTACACTGGTGAATCATATATAGACTTGAAGTCTATATACTTCTGTATGTAGTGCTTTTGGTGCACTTGTGATTCAAGATTCCATAACAGTCTTAACATCGTATGGATTGTTAGAGCAACCTTACTCCTTTCATATATGTTTTTTGTCCCACAGCTACCAAACACTGGACATGCTGACAGAAAACCAAGTCAATGGGAAAGGAAACAATAGCTTTCTAGATGACGAGTGGATGCAATTCCCAATGCTCCTTATCATTGGCTATGCTGGCTAGGGCTGCTGGGACCCCAAAATCATCTAGAAGGCTACACTTTGCCAAGCCCTGGCATAATCTTAAACATGGAAGAAAATTGCTGTACTTATACATTGATGAAATAATATCATATACTGTGTTGGGTACACTTTCCCCACATCATTCTGAGTTACCAAGTATCATAATTCTATGTTCTAAACTTTCAGACTGTATTATAATGTTTGTTACTGCTTTTACTTGGAGCAGAGCCTAAGTAAATAAATAGCTTGAACTTTTCTTTATTGCAGAACTATCCTTGGCTACAGAAAACACTGTTCTGACCAAAGCATCAGATAACTGCAACCCAGAACAGAAGAGGGCAAAGGTGAGAAAAAATTACCATTCTTTATTTAATCCCAACTTCCTGCAAAGTAAAGTCAACACCATAGCCTTCTGTGGGACTTGGGGGGGGGGGGGGTTACAAGAACCATAGCTGCATTGAATTAACAGACATACAGGTTCCAAAAATTACACTTCCAGTGAAATGAAAGCCAGTAAGTGGAGTTACATTGATCAGGAGTTTGCATTTCTGATTGAATACTGAGTTTATAACATTAATCCTTTGCCTTTGGCCCCATGCCTGAAGGACAACGCGCACATTAAATGCAAAACAAAAAATGCCCAGAACATTTCAGGGATACTTTTCTCTTCACTATACTTTAATTTCTTTGCATTTTCAAAACAAACATCCACTTTTAAAAGTCCTCCAACAGATGCACTAAACAAACACCTGTATACACACAATGCAAGTCACAACCCCAGTGAAGGGGAAAAGGCTACTCCCAAAGGGGTGAGCAGGTCTAATATACAGTATAGACAAAAGACTAAAATTAAAAAGAAAACAAAAATAAGGCAAAAAATAGTGTTTAATGCCCAGCGAAATGTAAAGCAAGGCCAATAAAATAAAATAAAGGATAGGGCATTAGGATATAGGAACGCAGGAGCAACTCCTTAATGCACTAGACATTAAGGATGCTAAAAAGTTCCAAGGGGGGAAAATGAGCGACGAGGCTCCTCTATTGTTCCTAGAACAGGGAGCGCCAAGCTCTTTGTGCTTCACGCAGCCCAGCTGACATTCTCAAGTCTCAGTTAAGAGAAGATGGGGCTGTATCGTTAGGCTATGTCTGGGGTTTTTCAGTCTAAGGCTGTAGATGTGTAAGTGAACCACATCCTCTAGCAGTGCCCCAGTGATTACCCCAGAAACACAAACAAATCTCAGGACCTCCAGTCTAACTATCTACAAGGGGAGAGCCTGGACAGAGTGAAGGCAAGGAGTCAGGGTTTTTCTGTACTTTGGGATAGGGTAGCTAGGCTGGTTATTGCTACCACTCTTAGAATCCATCTCTCTTCCATCAGGGAATTCCAAACAGTCTTCATACAAGCAAAGAGTCTTCAAGAATATTCCACTACAAAGAGTTAACCCAGGTTACCATAGTCAGGGATGACACATTTTAGGAGTAGGAAAAGTATACGCTATCAGGAAATATTAGCATCTTCGTAACTTTTGTCTTCCATTGCGTCTGAGGGCCCCAATGTGAAAGGGACAACTGCATTTCTCACTCCCCACAATCTGTGGTCTTAAGAGTTTTAATCAGCTCCGATTTTAAAAAAAGCAAGAGTAAGAAATGTCTATCCCAAGTAGCAATCTGAAGATCTGCCCAGAGGCCTGCCTGCAGGAAAGGAATTGTTAGTTTCTGAGCATAAAGATTTAGAGAATCTACTTTTTTCAACTTCCTCTGTGTTTTTGCTCCCTACAAAGATGCAACATCCTCCAATGTTGTGCCAAGACCAGAACAGCATTGGTCAGTAGGAAAAAACAAACCATTGGTCTTTGAGTGCTAGAACAAATGCAAAAGTAGGAAATATATTAATAGGAAAACTAGTGCTTTTGAGCTTTGTTCTAGTGTTCAGCTGTATATTGCTACAAACTGGTAGCAGGTAAGTTAATCAAAATCCATTCTGTTATCTTTTAAGTTCCAATCCAGTGGCAAGTTCTCTTTTGGAAATAACGTTTTTCCAAATCTCCTTAAGTGATCTCATTTCAATATCGGGAAAGGGTTATTTTAAACATAAGGAATTATTGAAATGTGTTTCAGCTTGATCCATGTCCCCCTCCCTTTCTGCAGCAGTCTGCTTAAGGGAACAATGGGGAGGAGAGCTTGAAAAGTGAAGACTGAGAATGCTGGCGAAAGGATTCAGTCACTTTTTCAGCAGTACTATTCTTCCAGAATCAGATGCCAGCTGCTCTTTCCTAACGTAAATGAATCAATGTGGATGTCACCACCTTCCTTATACTCTTATCTCATCATCTTCCTCATCCATGAAGCAGAATTCCTTGTCAGGCTGTTTCAATGGGTCATCACGCCTGGCATCATCTGGAACAGTGTGGTTTTGTCCTCTGGAGGCTGAACTCCGTTGTTCATCTCCCACTGATGTACAACTGGAGATGGAACTGCTGTCCATAGTCAGGCGGCTTGTCACACTACGGGCAGAGCCTGGACTGTAGGTTGCCGCTCTGCTGTCATCCCGCTGGGCCAAGGAACCCTGGGGAAGCCTGCACTCTTGGCTGAGCCAGTGGGCTGGTGACCCTTCTGCAGGGCCTGTTTCCCTTTGGTGGTCTTCTGCCCCATGATAACCAGAATCCTCTTGTTCCCAGGGGTCCTTGTCCATGATGCTCAAGATATCTCCCAACATGGAAGGCCCCAAATCAATATGGAAAGACATGATGGACTCGGCATGCTTTAAACCACAGTTATTCTTGGGGACCACCAAAGGCAAGTCAGTTATGTCACCAAAGGCCCGTTCTTCCAACCCAGGGCTGGGGCCTGCAGCAGCACCATTCATGTGTTTCTCTTCAGGCGTCTGCTCTTCAGGCGATTTCTTGACTGGGCTGGAGGAGAGGCTCTTGGGCATCTTTTTACCACCACTCTTGTCTGTTTCCTTCTCAGTGAGCTGAGGTAAGGAGACTGCATTTTTTACAAAGATGGCTGAATCCCTCAGAGATCCTAACATGTCCCGTCGATCACCACGCGTTACAGATTGAGATCGTTTGCTGCTTCGAAACTTCCGTGAAAGCAGGCCAGGTTTGGAGGAAGAAGTTGTCTCCTCCAAGGCTTCCTGCTCACCCTCCCCAGCCTTGGTATTGAGAAAGGAGGTATCTCCAAAGGCATCACCAGCCCGGCCAACATGCATGGTGTGACGGAAATCTCCAAGGGGAGCACTGATCATCTCAGTTGTCAGATCTGCCCTAGAGCGGCGCTTGGAATTAGCGGAATTGGTTACTAGCTGCTTTAAAATAGGCATTTTTGCAACAAATGTGAGTTCCTTTGCTCAGCAGTTAAAGCAAGAAATGAAATTCCTTTCTGGTCCAAAGAGGTCAGGTTATATTGATGGAGCTTTAGAAATAAGCTTCAAATCTTACTGGCTTTCAAGTGGTCCCACCCTAAAAAAAAACACAAGACACGAGAAAGAAGTATTAAAATTCATCAATAAAACAGAAGCATCATCTTCTCTTTACATTTAGATAGGAATACTATGAGACAGCACAGTTCCTGCAAACCCTACCCTTTCACCTTTAACACAGAGTGGGATCTAAATCTTCATAAGAGCTGCCATTTATGTGACATCAAGTAGACGACTAAATAAATTGGACCATCTTGTGAAAAAAGCAGTCCCTACCTTAGCTCACTGAGAAGGAAACACGCAAGATGACAGGAAAGAGATGCCCAACTGCCCCTCCAGCCTTGTCAAAAAAAGCACTGAAAGATAAGACTTCTGAAGAGGAACACACGAACAATACTGCTGCAGTCTTCAGCCGATACTGCATGGGCTAATTTACATGCAGAGATGCAGCTCACCATGACAAGTGAGAGATGTATCTCTGCATATCAGATTTTGACCAGGTAACCTACATGCATGCGCATCCTACTACCCAAGAGCTTAACTACTGATGAGTACCCATCACTGGCTCTACTCTCCTTCCTTACAGTTCTTGATCTTTAAATACACTTATCTGGGCAGCAGACACTATGGATTGTGATTCAGGTCATGGCCATAGTCAGTATGCCCAATGGTAAATATCTGAGGGCTGCATGTTCCCCACTCCTAAAATACAGAACATCGCCAAGCATAATTCTGACTTTTGTAAAATAGGATGCATCTCTTGTTCTCATGTTCATGCAATGTCTTTGTCTTCCCTCTACTCCTTTGGGATGTAATCTCTAGATGCTCCTGCAATGTGCAGCTCATGGGATAACTGCTTTCACTATACAAGGGTGTGTGTGTGTGTGTGTGTCCTGATGAATTTATAACATGGAAGACCAGGCGGCCATAAGAGGAGCGCTTTAGTTTCAATCCTCAGTGGTGATGATACCCGATCAGCATAGAACCCAGAAAAGGGTGATGGCTGTGTTAAAAATTCAAGGAGGATAAAAGCACAAGAAAAGAGGCTGGGCCAAGGGATAAAAGAGTGCTAGTCAAGACAGAAGCATTAAAGTGGAACTTTCTTCTCTCTCTCCTTGCAGAAACCTTTTCCCTTCACATTTGACTTACTGCTTGGAGACAGTTTTACATGCTCAGTGGAGCAGCCATCACTGTCAGAGAAAAGAATGAGACAGAAATGAATGTCTGTCTTGCTCTCAAGAGAATGAGGCTAAGGCGTAAGCTGGCAATAAAACTGAAAAGCATCTGACACATCTTTCCCAACCCCCTGCCTCTCTGAAGCCTGGCTTGCGTGAGAGAGTAGTGCTCACTTTCACCCTTTCCCATTCAACCCTGCCTCCCATCCCTTGCCCCCATTTAAGCTCTCCTCATTTTACTCAGAGCTTTCTGTCCATATTCTTATATAATTTCCCTGCAACTCATATTTAAACAGAACACAAAAGTCAAAACCACCCATCCAAGTTCAAAAGTAAAAGCATGAGATCTGGCCTTTGCATTTTTGTAAACAAGAGTCTGTTATTAGCATTTATATACTTGGATTGTCTGGCTGAACGCAGATGCCAACATTTTATGGACTGGGAGCAAGCAGAATAATTGCTGTAAGCAGTACACAAAGTTGTCTGCCACTCTTTTAGCCCCGTCATGCTCTGACGTCAATTTTGACATTGCGGATTTCAACGTCAATTCAAGTTTCAGGGACTGAAGTACCTGTAAAATGTTTTTCAGGAGATATACATATAATCAGTTGTTCTAGGCACCTATGGGCCTGCTCCAGGGACCATCTCCTACAATGTGAGAAAGGTCACTCAATATGCAATGTGCAAGCTTTACATTCTCTCTGTATAATATAAGGATGCATGATGACATTGGCCAACACACATTTCGGTGTCTCAAATGTTAGGCCTGTTTCTGGGTATATTTGTCTTGCCGATTCCAAAAATGGCAGCAGTTTCCCCTTAACAGCTTTCATTTTTGAAATGCAGAATATGTGCTAACCATTTACCACTTGCTCATCCACAGAAAATTATGATAACCATATCTAAGAAACTTGTCCTGATGCGCTCTATCCAATGCAATTTACTGAAGCAGCATCTCAAATAACCGCAGGAACAGATTTTTACCAAGACACCAAGATTTTTTGGGGGGGGGGGGGGTTTGTTATTTATTGCACTATTTATTGCATAGGATTTAGAAGAAAGCATTTTCATGCTAAGATGTTTTATTCCATTGTCCAGACTATGGTCGTATAAGAGCCAGGGAAATTGAACAACCTCTAGAAGATCAAAAATTTAAAAGGAAAATGGGAACCTGAATTCAAAATAAAGAGATGATCTGTGCTGTGGGAGACACTTCAAAATCTACTTCAGTATAGGTGTGCTTGTGTCTTTCATATTCTCTACATCATGATGCCACCAATAATTGATAACTAGCTGTTCTACTATAGTGATCTATACACAGATCTCAATGGAAGGCAGAATACTCAGATAGCCCAGCAAGCCAACTCCGTGTGTTTTCAAAAGGTGCATGCAGTTAGAGTGGGAAAATGCAGCCTGGAGATACTGGACTTGTTATTATCAAGGTATTTCAGACCCACAGATATTTGGCTCCACAGGGAGCCAAGCCATTTGTACAAATAGCCATGTAAGCATCTTGAAGAAAGCAAAGTCAACCATTAACCCATTTGGATTTGTGAACAACAGATCAAACTAGTCTGGTTTGCTTATTTTCAAAAGATACAGAGAATGGAGCGACATAAACCATGAAGCAGAGATACTAAACTTAAAGCAGAAATTCAATGCATGCTTTACTGAAAGTGAAGCTCATTCTGCCCAGTGAGATTTACTTCAGAGTAAATATGTATAAGACTGCACTTCTCATCGTTCTACAAGATATAATCCAAAATGACTCGAAGAATTGTTGGTGCAGAAAAAATGTCTATTCGGCAATTTGACTTTGCACTGTGTTACTGCTAACAATGCAACTGTAGACATGTCTGCATAGAGGTTCCACTGATTTAAATGAGACTTTTGTATTTGTGCCTTGAAGTCACCTGTCAGTTTAGTGACCCCAGGAATTTCATAGGATTTCCTTAGGCAAGGAATACTGAAAGCTGGTTTTATCAGTCTCTTCCTCTGATATGTAGCCTATAGAAGCTGCCCAAGCAATGATCACCCTGAGCTGGAAAGAGCAAAGAAAATGGGGAAAAAATTGTTTAGAATACTTAGTGGATTATATGCTTCATGATTATATTCCAATCACACAATTATATGGTAGCGTAAATGGGGCCTATGTTCACCCACATGAAATTTCTGCAACAACTCACATTCAACAAGGGCTTGTTATCTGCCAATTAGTGTTTGGCTACATATACCTGAATTGGGAGGCAGGGAATGAATACAGAAGGTGTGGAGGGGACTGATCTTTATATCTTAATAATGTATCTTGCTGAATGTGCATTTGTCCCAACTTAAAACTTCAAAAGAGGGGAATTCCTAGACAGCTGTATGGGGCTTTTCTATGCAGTCTTTCTGGTTTGAGCTAGAAGTGCTGCACTGGGAACTTTGAGTGAGAAAGACAAGAATCGGGAGATGATGACAGTCGGCCAATAGACCCATTGCAACTTGAAATAGTATCCATGTTGGCCATTGTTTGCACATTAGAGCTGGAGAAACTACAAAGAACTGAGATACCAGAGAAAGTAAGAAAGCAGCACTGCACTTAAAGTTTACCTGAAATAAGAATTATTTTTATTTCCTACCAGTTAGAATGGGGAAATCGAATTCCCTGCTCTTAGCATCTCTCTATGTATTATCTGCCTTGCTATGAATGTAAAACAAAATGTTCAATAAGAATGTGTAATTGGGCTATTGTAACCCAGGCTGGAGCAGAAAGCTATGGGAATAAGGAGCATACTGAGTACAAAGGACTCATTTTCTCTGAAACAGTTTTTTTTCATGTCAGGAGCAACTTGAGAAACTGCAAGTTGCTTCTGGTGTGAGAGAATTAGCTGTCAGCAAGGACGTTGCCCAGGGGACACCTGGATGTTTTACCATCCTGTGGGAGGCTTCTCTCACATTCCCTGCATGAGAAGCTGGAGCTGACAGATGGGAGCTCACCCCACTCACTGGATTCGAACCGCTGACCTTTCAATCAGAAGACCTGCTGGCACAATGGTTTAACCCATTGCACCACTGGACCTCCTTCTGAAACAGATACCACCTCTCTGTAACCGTTTTTTTTAAAGAAAAGAAGTGCTACAGAGGTTGTTGACTGTGTGGTGCATAATTACTTAGCTCTAATTATCCACAATAATTCTTTCTGATGAGAGACAGGTGAAGACACTGCACACAAGTTTTCAAGGATTACTAAGTGCGAAGTAAGGACTAAAAAGTTATTTATGATTACCAGTGCTCTTAATGTTTTCCTCTATCGTGCTGGCGACATAGGTGCCATAATAAGAATTGTACAAATCTGCATACACATATCCCATTCCTCTCCCCAGTCCCTTCAGATGAACTTCAAAATGCAAATGAAGGGGTCTTGGGGTACTTCGCCATTTTCATGAATGGACGCAAATGTGTAACCAGTCTTTTCCTGCACTGAGGGAGAAGACCCTATTAGATGATTTTATGAGGAGTCTGATGAATAGTTGCCAACCAAATAGTTTGGGATTTTGGACTATAATTGGCTAGGAAATTCAGAGTGTTCTGGTACAGAAGGTAATTTTTACAAAATCAGAGTTATTATGAACTTGTTTTTCTCCCTTCCCCATTAAAACCAATACAGCCAGAAAAGGAAAAAAAAATGAGGTTTGCTCTGGATAGGTCCAATAGGCATCTGCCAAAATTACATATACTAGAAGTGGCAATGGAAGGGAACTGGGGACTAGTTCTTGATTGCTGAAAGCAGGGAAGAGAGCTAAAAAAGAGAGGCTAAACTGTCCTGTGTGCCTCCTGCTGAGGCAGCATTTCCCTGAACTGAGGTGAGTCCCTGGAACAGAGCTGCCCATGGGCAAAAATCAGTACAAAAGCAATAAATACAGTTCAACAGCTCATGCTTTACCTATTCATGATTTCACTAAGAGGTGCAATCTTAATGTTCACACATTACAAACTATGAGGACAAGTGAGATGGAAAGAAGGAAGTTTCCATTCAATGCCCCTTTACCCTTCAGCTGAACCAGTGGTTCCCAACCTGTGGTCTGTGGCCCACCAGTGGTCGGCAAGAACGAAAATATGGCCTGCAGCCTCACCATTATTACACTGTTGCAATGAGAGCAACTGGTCTCGCGAAACCCTCTTATAGTGTCGAGGCTTATTAAATATGGTTTTCTGTGGGCAAGCAGATGGCGACTATTGGATGGCATATGTTCTGTATCACAGACTAGAGCTGATGTGATCTAGCCAATGCAGTTTTCTGAATCAGCACCCCAAATAACCAAACCAAATCTAAAGCTGACCAAATCTGATTCATAACCCTTTTGGTACTAATGTTGGAGAATGGTCCCTGGTCAAAAAATGGTTAGGAACCACTGAGTTGAACAAACATAAACTGATTTTTGGAGTAGCTTTTTTTTTTGACAAGACATTTTGAAGGAGAGGTAACAGTCCGACCTGGGAAGGAATTGTTAGCAACGCCCAGCCATTATTACATTTTTGTCTGCTCACCCACTTGCCCTCTTTACGTGAACTGGGATAGAAGGAAATAACAAGGGAAGAAACTCAAAAGCATAGTGGTGAGACCAAGAGGGCTTGGTAGAGAGAGAACTACTCACTGAAAATACCTAACAGTATCCTTAATAAAACTTCAGTGGAAGAGAAAGGGGAAGAGAAGCAGCACTGGCAAACACAGGAAGGTTATAAATGGATAGCATCAATGGATTCACCCTAAAATGCCAAAAAAGATGCAGGACAACATTCAGAGTCTTACTTGGAACAACTTTGAAAGACTCTTCTCATAGTCAGGACAGTACATATTCTGCCATTCAAAGGAAGCACAGCGAGGCGGCAAAGCATCATGGTGGGCACAGGACACAGCTTCTCACCCAGCGTGGCTTTCTATTAAGAAGAACTTCTGTCCTCAATAATAGTAAAGTTAAATTGTGACTGTTAACATTCCCATTGATGGGGACAGTGAGTTTTCACCCTGTCCCCTTTCAGTGTGTTGTTGTGTGCCTTCAATCTTAGCCTAAGGGGAACTTTTCACAGGGTTTTCTTGGCAATAGTTGTTCAAAATGCCTTTGCCTTCCTGAGAGAGTGTGATTTGCCCAAGGCCCAGTGGGTATCCGTAGCTAAGTGGAGATTTGAACTTCAAAGTTGTACTCCAATGCTCAAAGCACTACACTGTTCTAGATCATCCCCCATTTTACTCTTTATCATTTACCCATGAGTAGTAAATAAAATAAAAATGTGTGCAAATAATGGGAAGGAGGTGTCCCCCCCCCCAATCCAGGGTGCTTTATGTAAATTTAGGGTGCATTTACAAAGGAGAATCAGTGCAGCTTGACCCCAATTTCACTGCCATGGCTCAATGACATAGAATCATGGAAACTGTAGTTTTACGAAGTCTTTAGCTTTCTCCTCAAAGTACAAATCCCAGGATTCCATAATACAGAGCCATGTGATGTCAACCAGCATTAATTCTACGGTCAAGAGCCAGCCCTTAGAAACTCAGCAACTCCTCTGTCTCAGAGGCATCATCCTTCTAAGTGGGCTCAGCTCTGCCTTCAGCTGAAAAAAAGTTTCACAAAACTGAAGAGTGGAAACATATTGAATATTCAACAGCATTACTTGTGATACTGGAGTCACCTTTTGGGCAACCACCCATCACTGACTGTTTTGCTTCTAAAGAGACTACAGTAGACTATATTATAATCAGTCTTCCATATCCACAGATTTGCATCTACAGTATCAACCATCCATGGATTAAAAATATTCTTTCCCTCAAAAAAAAATCCCTAAGAGCCAAAATCGATCTCACCATTTCATGTAAGGGATACCATTTCACTACACCATTGTATATCATGGGATTTAAACATCTGTGGATTGTGATATCCTTGGCACATGGAGTGGAGTCTTGGAACCAAACTCCAGTGGATATCAAGGGCTCGTTGTATAGACAAGATATTCTACTCCTATGATTATTTCCACTAAAAACACCTGAAATGCTGGATTTCAGGGACTGCTCGCAGTTCAAAGAGGTGAAATCAAGTGACTTCCAGCTACATCACCTCTACACCTATTGCTGTTTCAAACTAAACTCCTTTTCCATTTTCTGTATTCATGGAAGCATCTCCAAATGGCTTTGAAAGCTGAGCAGAGCTGCCTTATCCTGCCTTTATCTCAAAATGGGATCCAAAGATTCAGGGAACAAGTACAATTTTGCTGCCCATAAGATTCCCTGAGCTGTTGCAAACAGCAAGAGGACTGACTCTTTGATTGTTCATTGTAGCTAATGAATTGAATTAAATTTGATGGGAGACTGGAAACTTCTCAGATAGCATAACTTATTTTAAAATAATCACTAGGATATTTTTTTTCTGGGGAAGTCCCCCACTCATCTTTCTAAGTGATATTTCTATGCTGCCAGTTACCACTTATAGACAAGGTTAGCACATACAGTTGGTACAAAACTTTTCCCAGTGACCTTATAAGCAGTTAAACACAACAGACTGAGTTATCCAGAGCAAAATGACTGAAAGATAGAATATCCTAGATATTTTTTTTGGTATAAAATTATTCTATTTGTAGATGGAAAAAATTAAGAAACAGAAACATATATATGCATACATAATGAGTGATAAAAAATAATTCATTAAACTAGATAGATTTGACCAACTGATTGCCTTAAGAATGGTCTGCTGGGATGCCAGCAACAAAAGAGATTGTCATCACATACCTTGCTTCAAGGCTCAATTCGGATTGGTCTCATTTACAGTACAGTGATTACGTAGCATATTATTTGAAGCCAGTAGGCTTATTTCACAAAAACAGAATTTTCTTCAAAAGCGGTAGACTAGGTCACATAAGAACTGAAGCTGTGTTTAAAAATAAATATGAACTTAAGAACAGCCTTCTTGAGTCAAATCAAAGACCTATCCCTAGTCTAGCATCCGGTTTCCCACAGCAGACAACCAGATGGCTATGGAAACATAACAGGCAGGATTTGGGCATTGTAGCCCTGTGCTATGATTATTTGGGAGCTGCATGCTATCTCATCAGGACTAATAGCAATGGAGAATATTATTCTCAACAAATTTAATCTTTCCTTTTAAGGTTATCTGTTGGTAGTCATCATTACAGTCTGTGAAAAGTGACATCTGTAACTGAACATTGCACTTCGTAAAGAAATACTTCTTTTACTCTGTCATTAATCTCTCACAATTAGGCTCCCTTGTTCCAGTCTAATAGGGACAGGAAGTCCTTTCTACCCATTTTCTCAATTTCATGCATGGTTTCCTACAGGTCAGTTACATCCCCCTTAATTTGTCTTTCCCTCCACTCAAAAAAATACACACTACAAATGTTCTTCACAGGGGAATTCCTCTGCCCATTCTTCATTTTGGTTAGTTTCCTGCACTTTTTGCAACAATCAATAGCATATTTTAGTGTATTTGCACCCAAAATTTTGTTTGAACACATTTTCATATTGGCAGTTTTATTTCTACTCTCTGGTATTCTGTATCCTAAATGTAAAACAATTATATCTAACTAAGAAAATCATGTTTTACATTATCAAACAGGGATTTATCTTTAGAAATATTTATCTTGAAAACAAAAATTGTTTATTCTTTTTTTAATCTAAAAATGAAAGCCATTTTCACCAAAGCCAGAAAAAAGAAAGCTACATAATTTGAATTCAGGACTGCAGGCCATGGAAATCCTTCACTTTTAAAATGACTAGGACTAAACTAAGTCAATTAAATTACCACAAATCTCCTTTAGATAGAATGATTTATCTGTGATGGTCTATATCCGGTTCCGGTATGGTGGGGCTTCCGGTTCCGGTATGGTGGCTTCCGGTTCCGGTATGGTGGTTAGCAGCTGAAACGCTGAACTGCGCTCCACCACAAATTAAAATCTAAAGGAATCCTGAGTCCCCCCCTCACCAACCACCTTCAAACTGAGGGGGGAGAGACCCTGAGCCTCGGGCTCCCCGTAGAGGGTCGTCAAGCCGGGAGAAAGAACCAGGAAGGCACAAAGAAGACAGAGAAAGACAGAGAAGAGAAGCGAACGCCGCCATTGCATTCGCCATTGCATCGTGGCCGGCCTGCCTTCCAACCAGGCCGCCAGCTCTCCAACCAGACCGCCAGCCTAGAAAGGAAAAAAAACTAACTGTCTCACCCGCAGCTGCAGGCTGGACATTGCCGCTAGAACTTCTGCCGGCCGGGCCATCACCGGGGCCACTGCCAGAGCTGCCGCTGCTGCTGCCAGCCGACGCTGCTAGGCCGCCGCTGCCGCCAGGCCGCCGCTGTCGCCACCGCTGCCGCGGAGGCCGAGCCGCGGCCTGGGCCGAACCACCGCCGGGGCCGCCGCCGCGGAGACTGAGCCGCGGCCTGGGCCGAACCACCGCCGGGGCCGCCGCAGCCGCGGAGATCGAGCCGGGGGCCGCCGGAGCCAACGTGGAGGCCGAGCCGCAGCCTGGGCCGAACCACCGCCGGGGCCGCCGCCGCCGCGGAGGCCGAACCACCACCGGGGCCGCTGCCTCCGGGGGCCGCCGCCTCCGGGGGCCGCCGCGGAGGCCGAGCCGGGGGCCACCGGAATCAACGTAGAGGCCGATCGGAGGCCAGGGCCGCCGCCGGAGCCGCTGCCGCCGCAGAGGCCGCCACCAGCGCAGAAGCCGCTCGAGACTATCCGAACGGCCGGCTCATCCCTCTCCATTAGGCCTCTAAAGGTGAGCTGCCTGGGCTCGTCCCCCTCCATCAGGGAGAAGCAGGCGAAGCGGCGAAGCTGCGGTGCGACCTCTAGAGGACGCCGCCATCGGATCCAGCACTGTTCGTCCGGGCTCACCCAGGACGCTGGGCCTTTGCTCTTCAGGCCTTGCCGAGCGGGCCACGGCATCGCAGGAGCCACTGGAATCTGGGCCCTGGGCTACTTGAGCCGGGCCGAGACACCTGGCCCATTACCATCTTCCGCCATCTGGGCCTCCACCATCTGGGCAAGCAGTGTGTAGACCTCCTTGCAGTGTGCAAACCTTTGGGCAAGCAATGTGTGTAGACCTCTCTGTGCTGACCTCTCTGTGCTGACCGATATTGTGTAGACCTTTTTGTGTTGACCTTTTCTGGTGATCGATGTATAGATCTTGTTGTGTGGGCCGCTTTCTGTGTAGACTGACAGTGTGTTGCCTGTTGGGCAACTTAGCCGGATATAGACCAACTGGGCTGACCATCACCGTGTTGACCACCTCCGGAGGACCATCCGCTACTTCTACATCAGTCGTCTATAGTTTACATCTGAATCATTGTATTTCTGCCAACTGCCAATCTCTTTAATTACTGTGTTTATATATTGCGAACATTGCACGTTACAGTTCCTTCTACCTTTGCTGCTAATGTGGTAATAAGAGCATAATATAGCACCTTAAGGCGCCTGCCTCTGTTGCTAACTGTTTTTGCACTTTACCCCTTCCCGATCCCTCCGGCCGCACTTTAGTAGTATTGAGGGTCAGTGTTTGAGCTTGTTGCACTTTAA